CGGTGCAGCCGCCTCTGCCTCACCCCGCGCCAGCACTCCCTGCAGCCGCCCCTGACCTACCCGCGCCGACCATCTGTAGCCGCTCTGCGGCTTTCTCCCCGCCCACCCCCTCCTCCTTCGTTTCCCTGCAGCCGTGAGGGGGAGGGTATGGGGGTGGCGGGTGTTGGGGTGATGGGTGGTGTGCTTCCCTTCCCCTCCTCCTCCTTTCTTTCCCAGTGCTACAGCTGCCGCTGGGGGGAGGGTGTGAGGGTGTGGGGGAGCTGGGGGAGTTAAATTGGGATGGCGGGTGTGAGACCAACTTCCCTTCCCCTCCTCCTCCTTTCTTTCCCACTGCTGCAGTTGCCGCTGGGGGGAGGGTGTGAGGGTGTGGGGGAGCTGGGGGAGTGGCACTGGGGTGGCGGGTGTGAGACCATCCAGCAGCCGTCCCTCCACCTCTCCTCTCTTCCCCCCTCTGCTGCTTCTGCAGCAGTGTGGGGGGGAGGGGGAGGAGGAGGGTGAGGAGATGGCAGGAATGCTTGCTGTACCTTTGCTGCTGTACTACCTACCTACCTACCTGCTGCTGCTGCTGCTTGTGTACCCCTGCAGGTTGTGTTCTGCACAAACTCCTGCTGCAGGCAGTTATGGGGGAGTGTCATAATTTATATATGTAACTGTCTGTAGCTGTAGTTAGTGTAGTTATTACAAACTTTGTTAGGTGGTGCACCTTCTTTGTTCACATGCTATATGTTCTTGCAAACCTATAGTGAACAGACATTCCCAAATTTCTCGACACTCTTGGCACAACTCACTCGATCCTCCTTGGCCTAGGCTACTAAGCCTAGGCCGTCCTATTCTCTCAACTACCTATTGTGCTAGTATCACGACAGAAAATCCTAGCTCCATAAAAAATACCCCAGGCCATTAGTGTGACTACCAAAAACCACCCTGATAATCAGGGTATCAGGGTGATTTATACTGATAAAATTAGCCCTATTACCGACACTGATTAGCTTTGAAAATCGAGGGTTTCAATGCGATGGTGCAACTATCATTGCGCTACTTCAAATATTTCTCCCTTAACTGTCTACAGTCCCGTAGAGAGTATCAATGGTAGAGAAGCATAGGCAACTATTTACGCTTTACAAGTTGATGCCAGGATTATAGATTTTATCGACCGCAAAAAAGGTAACCGTGTTTCCCTTGAAAAATAGGAAAATAATCAAGTAAGAAGTGTCAAACTCATATGCTCTAGTCTGTGTAGGCTGTAGTGGGGTAGAAAATATGGGGTACAACTCTTTTAGGTTTTCCTACTTGTACCCACCTGCTTTCTAGTCCATTAATCCTCGTTCTCTCTCAAGAAGGTAGCTGTAGTTGATGTAGTATACCTAGTACTTTCCGAGTCCCATTTTGCCACCACCCAACCACTAGTCGGCTGACGTTAAAATTAGGAGTGAGAAGAGCCCCAGATGTAAACATGATGTTCAATCTTATATAGTGCATTTTGCGTGCACCATTCAGAAACCATATACTTCGTGCGCGGAGCAATCGATTGCAAGACAACTGATTTTAATGGCTACGAAATTTAGGGCAAATGCTGAAGGCGCTTTTTTTGGCCTTATAGAATCATGAAGGGCAGTTTTTGGGCCTTTAAAAAAAAAAAGAAACCTCAGAATATAGAGGACCACCTCCTTATTCTTTTGGCATACTTCCTTTTAATACGAACTTCCCTTGCAACCCCCCTTTATAACTGAGAAGAATTGAACGAGAATGGAATGACTATGAACGAAGTGAGTACAAATAGGAAACCCTAATTGGGTTGTACCCCCTATGGGATACCCCACTATAGCCTACAGAAACAAGTAAGCTATATGTTCTGACACACCCCCATAGGCAAAGTGGGGGAGAACAAGGGGTCACAAGACCAGTCAAGCAAAGCAAAGCAAAGCTCAGGGTGGATCACAAACTCACCACGCATTCCGAGCACAAGTTCAAAGGCCACACGGCCAGTTCACATGCAAGATCATATATAGAGGTATACAAGAGTCAAGCAAGCAAGAGCAAGAGTATATATATGCGAAGGTACAAGCAAGGTCAAGAGGAGAGCAAGTGAGGCAAGACAGGCACAAGACCCAACTGCGTGCAGCAACGCTGATGATCACAAGGCGCAAGTGCCTTGGTGAAGACATCAGCAGTGTTGGCCTCAGAGGCCACGTACGCAAGTCGCAGCTGTCCACGCTGCTGTAGCTCACGAGCAAGAAAGTAGCGGAGAGCAATGTGCTTCGTTCTGTGCTCCAGTCGCTGCTCTCGACACAAGGCCAGCATGGCCTTGTTGTCTACGTACAGGACTGGAGGAGAACGAGGCTGCTCTCCAAGGTCGGTCAGCAGGTAGGTGAGCCAGCGTAACTCCTGTGCAGCCATAGCCCCAGCGTAGATCTCAGCCTCACAACTGGAGCCGAGAACAGAAGACGAGCGGGTAGCCCGCCACGAGACAGAGCCGGAACCAAGGCTGAAGGTGTAACCCTGTGACGACCGCTGCGTAGCCTGGTCGTCAGCCCAAGAAGCGTCTGCGTGCCCAGTGAGGACCACTGGACTGCGCCCTCCAAGCACTAGCCCCATGCCCGACGTATTGCACAAGTAGCGCAACACCCTCTTCGCTGCAGCCATGTGCTCTGGTCGGTGTCTCCCAGGAGCAACAAAGCGTGCGAGAATGCTAAGAGGGTATGCGAGGTCAGGTCGTGTGCAGGTCATCAGGTACATGAGGCAGCCAACAAGCTCTGCAAACGGGCCACTCGACTCTACGGACTCATCCGAAGGCAGAGCTGAGAGCAAGTGGCGAGTAGGCAGAGGAGTGGCCTGAGGCGAGGAGTACGTGAAGCCGAAGCGCTGAAGGACCTGCTGCACCATGTGTGACTGAGTCAGGGTAATGGTGCGGCGTGCTCTGTCCCGGGTGATCTGCAAGCCAAGGTAGCTGCGCAGTTCACCCAGGTCTGTGCACGTGTGTCTCTTCTGCAGCTCGGACTTCACGTAGGCGAGTCCAGCAGTGTCAGCTGTGGCAAACACCAAGTCGTCGACGTACACGAGGATGTAGAACGGCGGCAGAGAGGTGTCGGTGCGCAGAAACAGCGACGGGTCGGCAGTAGAAGGAGCAAACCCAAGTGCCGCGAGCGTAGTCCTCAGTGTGTCGTGCCACTCACGTGGCGCCTGGCGGAGACCGTAGACTGGACGCCGAAGACTCCACTGGGTGCCAGGAGGGAAAGACCCAGTGAAGCCAGGTGGGCGACGCAGCCAGATCTCCTCGTGCAGGCTGCCCTGCAAGAAAGCTGTGCTGAAGTCGAGAGAGTGCAGCTCGTAGTCACGGTGAGCAGCAACGTGCAGCAGAACCCGAAGAGTGGTCATCTTCGGGGTGGGGGAGAAGGTCTGAAAGTAGTCAACCCCCTGCCGCTGACTGAAGCCACGAGCCACGTAACGCGCCTTGAAGACAGGCGGAGAACCCGGCGGCCGCTTCACCCTGAAAATCCACATACCACTGACGATGTTCGCCCCAGGAGGGGGAACAGCGTCAACGTAGGTGCCTGTGGACTTCCAGGAAGCCATCTCTGCATCCATAGCTGCCTGCCACTGAGAGGAGTAGGGACCCTCTATCGCCTCCGCGTAAGAGCGCGGAGTCGGGATGTCTGGTGCATCCGGGTCTCCCTCAGGGGCTAGCAGTACAGACGCGAGACGAGGTGAAGCGGCGGCCAGACACTGGAACTCCTCCTGCCTGTCCTCAAGGACGTCCGTGCCAAGGGCACACTCACCCCCGACGGACGGAGGACAGGCGGACTCAGACTCAGTGACAAGACGAGCAGCGTAGTCTAGACGACAGCGCGCAGCAAAGTCGACAAGCTCAGTGACAAGGGCAGACGCAGTAGACGACTTGAAGGAAGGGTCAGTGACAGCAGTAGCAAGGAGACGCGTGACAGTAGGACTGGCAGCACGAAGAGAGTCCGACTCCGGGTCGGCAAGAGTAGGAAGAGAGGAAGCAGGAGGAGAAGGCAAAGGGGCACGCAGAGGAGCAGTGGACGGACGCAGAGACATCCGGTGCGTGCCAGGGACAGGAGGAGGACGATGACGCGACCCGCGACCACTAGCGCGCTCAGTACGAACAGGCGACACAGGACGAGACGCAGGCTCACGACGCTCAGTAAGACCTCCAGTCGGACCAGCGTAGGGAGAAGGAGCAGGCAAAGGGGAGGCAGGCTGTAGCTGTGGCTGCGACCGGACAGGCTGCGGACCCTCTAAGGGAGGAGGAGGAGGTGTAAGACCAAGAACCTGCTGAAGGAGCGGAACGAAGTACGGTCGGGGCCGCGCGGCGACGCTAGAAACAGCAGGAACAGCACCAGCAGCCCCGGCAGGAGCACCCACTCCAGCAGCACCTCCAGCAGCACCACCAGAAGCTCCAGAACCTCCAGCAGCAGCACCAGGAGCACTGTCAGTCGGACCGCCAACGGCAGGCTCAGCGCCAACACCCTCAGCAGTACCAGCTCCAGGAGAACTCTCAGACCCAGCAGCTCCAGCACCCACAGTACGAGCACCGGCGGGACGCGCGGCAGCAGTACCCTCTGCAGCCGAAGAACCACCAGCACCAGCAGCACGCCTCCAGCGCCGGGCAAACCACTCACGCAGCTCCTGTGGGGAGAGTGGCTCCCGGCGAGACGAAGCACCCCCAGGCACAGCACCTCCAGGCTCAGCACCCCCAGGCTCAGCACCCCTAGACACAGCACCCCCAGGCGCAGCACCTCCAGGCTCAGCACCCCAAGGCACAGCACCCCCAGACTCGGCACCTCCAGGCTCAGCACCCCCAGGCACAGCACCCCCAGGCTCAGCACCCCTAGGCACAGCACCCCCAGACTCGGCACCTCCAGGCTCAGCACCCCCAGGCACAGCACCCCGAGGCTCAGCACCCCCAGACTCCGCACCCCCAGGCTCAGCTCCCGCAGCAGCACCAGAGTCACCAGTGACCTCGACAGGCTCGACCGCGTCTACCTGGGACACACCTGAAGGGGCAGGACCCTGAGGGGGGAGGGGGACTACCGGGGGGGGACCTGGCACCAAGAAGAGCGGGGGTGGGGGGAGGGACGAAGTGCGGTAGGGGAAGAGGCGGTAGTAGGGTACCGACTCGTCGAACGTGACGTCCTGGGAGGACAGAACACGTCGAGAGGTGGGGTGGTAAAACTGCCACCCAGGAGCGTCGGGGGGGAACCCCAGGAAGACGCAGGGAGAAGCACGAGGGGACAGCTTGTCCGCAGACAGGTCGCGAACAAACGCCCGAGATCCCCAGACCCGGAACGCCGACGCATCGCCAACCTTCCCCGTCCACAGCAGGGCTGGGGAGGTCTCCGGTCGAGAGACCCTGGGGTGGAGGTTGATCTGGTGCGCAGCGTACCTGACCGCAAACGGCCACAGAAAATGGGGAGCAGCCGCATGCATCATGGACGTACGAGCGACGTCCATGACCATGCCAATGCGGCGCTCAGCAATCCCATTCTGCTGTGGTGAGTCCGGAAGCGTGAAGGTCTGACGGATGCCTCGCGCACGACAGTAGGCACTCAGGAGTCCAGAGGAGAACTCTCCGCCTCTGTCCGAGTGCAGACGCAAAACAGGGAAGTCAGAGCCAAAGCTCCTCCGAAGCTGGAGACGAGCTGCGCGGATCCAGTCGATCAACACCTCAGTGACCTCACCCTTGCTGCGCAAGGGGAAGACTGTGGTGTAACGCGAGTAGTCGTCAACCACCAGCAGGAAGTAGCGCTCCTGACCCTGTCCACGGACGCGGGCTGGGCCCCACACGTCCATGTGAAGCGTCTGCAACGGGGCCTCTGTCGGAGGAAACTGGGAGGAGTGAGGGGCAGCACGCTGGCGCCCCTCGACACAGGGGACACAGGTAGGGCCAGGGCCCGGAGGAAGGGGAGGGAGAGACCGGGGAAGACCAGACACAAGGACTCGCGAGGCCATGCCTCTGAGCCGAAGCAGAGAGGGGTGGCCAAGGCGGTGGTGCCAGAGGAGGGTCTCGTGAGACAGACGACGACACGAGCAGGGGGCAGACTCAGGACCAGACCTGGACGCTGCAGCAAACACCTGACCAGACGAAAGGACCCTACCAGACTCAGCACCTGGAGGAGAAGCAGTGGTCAGTGTGTACAGGCTCGACCCGGGCCGACGTGTAAACGTAGCCAGGTGGCGACCTGTATCCGCCTCCGTGCAGTGGGTCACCCGCTGACGAGCAGGGGTGAACTGGTGGACACCCGCATCCTGGAGGTCAGCACCACTCACCAAGTTCGTCGAGAACGAGGGGAGGTAGAGACCAGTCAGGGTGCCAGAGGGGGCCGCCGGACACGGGAGGACAGTGGAGAAGCGAGACAGGACAGGCCCCCCAGAGGGGTCAGCCAGGGACACCGCAACCGGCCGACTCAGCGGCGTGAGAGTGGTGCGGTCCCGAAAGAAGGAGCGAGACGCTCCAGAGTCAAGGGTGAAGGTGTGAGAGGCCGAAGCCGACACAGTACCTGAGAGGGCAGACTCACCAGCACCTGAGAGCACAGACGCACTGGCACCTAGAGCAGCAGCCTCACCAGTACCTGACGCGGCAGTACCAATGCCCGGGTCGGGCGGGAAACACCGGTAACAGTCATCCTCATCACTACCAGTCACAGCATACATAGCAGAGAGAATAGCATCAAAATCAAGATCATAAATAGCTACACCAGCCCTAGACAGCTCTCCCCAGCGGGGGATCTCAGCGGCCTCCGGAAACTGCTGACGCCAGGCGTCGGTCAGGCGGCCAAAGCAGCGGCGGGCTGTGTGGGCGCCTCCACACCTCTCCCCTGCACGGTCACCGGTGCGAAGAACGTAGGGGCAGGGACCAAGCGCACCACCACGCTGACGCTGCAAGTACCACTCACGGAGCTGCTGAGGGCCGGGGACGGTGCGAGAGCGCTGCTGCTGCTGTGGCTGCTGCTGCGGCTGCTGCTGCTGCTGCTGCTGGCGCTGACCACCCCCAGAGCTGTTCCGCTGGGATGAGCCACCCCGACCCCCGCCTCCACCGCCACCCCCGCCTCCACCGCCACCCCCGTCTCCACCGCCACCTCCCCCACCAGGACCGTCGCTCCCACCGCTCCCACCGCCTCCTCCGCTACCACCTCCGCCGCCACCTCCGCCTCCACCGCCACCACCAGTACCTCCACTCCCGCCACCACTCCCACCGCCACCCCCACTCCCCCCGCCACCCCCACCGCCTCCTCCACCGCCCCCTCTAGCTCCACCCGCTCCCTTGCCCCCTTTGCCCTTGCCAGAGCGGCGTCTTCCGCTGGGGGCAGACGCCGCGCCGACCGACTCAAAACCAGTGAGGTCGGCCGCAGCGGCAGAGGCGACAGAGGGCAGCAGGGGGGAAGGACCACACCCCTCAAAGATGGGGGTGCGAGGGTCACCTCGAGAGGCCCCTACAGCGACAATACTCTTCTCAGCCGCTAGCAGGGACTCCTCAAGGAGGTCGACAGTGAGAGTGGTGGGACAGACAGAGAGAAACTGGTCCCTAACGACACGAAGGGACTCAGGGAGACGGGTGACGAGAAAGTAGAGAGTGATGTACATGGGAGGAGGGTTCGCAGCGCGGAACTCAGCAGGAAGGGCAGCGCGGTAGCGGGTGTCACTAGCACGGAGGTGGGTAACGAGGTCAGCAACAGTGGGAAAGGAGGCGAGGTCAGGGAAGAGAAACGGTAGCATGAGGCGGCTAAGGGTAGCGGAGGAAGGGGAGGAGTAGCGTGCAACTACAGCGTCGTACAAGGCCTGAGCGGTCTTGCACTGACTAAAGTGGGCACGCTCAGAGGAAGGGAGGTGGCGACGCACAGCAAGACGTGCAGCAGCATCGCGGGTCGCCCACTTGGAGCGAACGGCAGAGTCAGCATCAGCAGGTGGGGCAGGGACAGCGCCAGAGACAAAGTCAAAGAGAGAGACCTCATCTATCGCATCACACAGTAAGTACAGCTGCAGGTCTTCAATCCAGACGGCAAAGTCAATGGCCCTCCCCTCAGCGTCAAAAGTAAGAACATTGGGGGTGGCCATGGCAGCAGCTGAAAGTCTCACCGGGCTGGGAGAGTCGGGTAGGTCAGCAGCAGAGGAACACAGCTCAGGAACAGCGGCACGGCTCGGGCGGCTCGGGTGGCTCGGGCGGCTCGGGCGGCTCGGGTTGCTGGGGCGGCGCGGGCGGCTCGGGCGGCTCGGGCGGCTCGGGCGGCTCGGGCGGCTCGGGCGGCTCGGGCGGCTCGTGCGGCGCTGGTGTCGCGACGGGCGGCTCGCTGGCGGCTCGCGGGCGGCTGCACAGGCGGCTCAGGGACGGCGGCGCGGGCGGCTCAGGGAGCTCACGGGCGGCTGCGACGGGCGGCTCGCGGGCGTCGGGCGCTAGGGCGTTGGGGCGACGACGGGCGGCGCTCAGGCGTGCGGGCGGGCGGCCGTAAGGGCGAAAGGGCGGTCGGCGCTCGGGCGCTAGGGCGGGCGGCCGGCCGTCAGGGCGCTAGGGCGGGCGGCCGTCAGGGCGCTAGGGCGGGCCGCGTGCGGGCGCTAGGGCGGGCGGCCGTCAGGGCGCTAGGGCGAGTGGCGCGCGGGCGCTAGGGCGGGCGGCCGTCGGGGCGCTAGGGCGAGCGGCCGTCAGGGCTCTAGGGCGGGCGGCGCTCGGGCGCTAGGGCGGGCGGCGCTCGGGCGCTAGGGCGGGCGGCGCTCGGGCGCTAGGGCGGGCGGCTCTCGGGCGCTAGGGCGGGCGGCGCTCGGGCGCTAGGGCGGGCGGCTCTCGGGCGCTGGGGCGGGCGGCCGTCAGGGCGCTAGGGCGGGCGGCCGTCAGGGCGCTAGGGCGGTTGGCGCTCGGGCGCTAGGGCGGGCGGCCGTCAGAGGAGGGAGCGGCGGGAGCGCGACGGTAGGGGCGACACGCAGGGTCGCTAAAAAAAAAGAACGCGCGCCTCGGGGCGCGCTTCGGTGGGCCCTAGGAACAGTCCCTAGGAGGGGACCTGCTCTGATTCCATGAGAAGAATTGAACGAGAATGGAATGACTATGAACGAAGTGAGTACAAATAGGAAACCCTAATTGGGTTGTACCCCCTATGGGATACCCCACTATAGCCTACAGAAACAAGTAAGCTATATGTTCTGACAATAACTTCCGTACCCCTATAACAAGTATATACATCGGCTCTAGCTAACATGTGATAAGCTGTTTTGGATGAATGAGGTGAATATTTTGTAATTCCTTTATCGATTACATCATAATTACGCGACATTAGTGTCATAAGTGATGCACAGATAGATCCACTTAGAAGATTAAAGACTTTCTCGACCTTCTCTGTGGTGACTGAGTGAGGTGCATAACAGTTTCAATGGCTCCAAAGCAGAAAGCGTGCTAAATAGTAATATGCATATTCTATTGGCTGTACTGATTGGTACTAGTGTATACCAAAAGCGATATACAAAAGGCCTAGTGCGACATAAGGAACTAGACACGAATTCCAAGGCGAAGTTCACGTGCCCCTTACGCGTATCAAGTGTACTTGAGTCTGACCTCAAGAACCTACCTTGGACGCTTACGACGTGTTGCGATCCAACAAGGTTGGGTTGGGTTGGGCTGACCTGGTCGACCTGACCATCGCGGCTCGGAGCCTCGAAGAATCTCTGAGAAATTTTGGCACACCCTCCAAGCACTTACAGCGCAATTTGTTTCTAGCTTCCCTGCAGGCTAGGCGAGCTGTGACGAGAGTCAGAAACTCGCTGAAATAGCGGTTACTCCGAAACTAACCTCGCTGGATTTCCAATTCGTAAACGAATCTAACTCGGACTTCTAGCGAGAATTTTGAAGTCGCTAGCTTAGGTAACTCGACGTAATCTTGCTGAGCTGGTCGGGTCGACCTGGTTGGCCCGACTAGGTTTACCCAGGTCGGGCAGACCCAACCCGACACGGTTGGGTCGAGCTGGTTAGCTAGATCCGCAACGCAGCGTTCCTAGAAATGAGAAATCCGACCTGGTCGAGCCGACCTCTTTGGGTCGCAACATGTCGTAACACCAGGTTTCGGTTCAGGGTTGAAAGGCACAGTTGCGTCATATTTTTCGCCACCCTGACCTTTTACGGTCGATGAATATCATTCCCCTCCCATAAATAGGTTTGAATAACGAACCCTCGGAGCCACGCTTTAGAAAAAAAAAATCAAATATAATCCAACAGCTATATTAGTACAGTGCGCAGCTAGATTAATCATGTTCAGGCTAGTCGGACTCATGATTTCCTGCTCCAGATTGATCTTGGCCTATCTTGGCGACCCATGACATGATTCTCTTCACGAGAAGTGAAGCAAGCGAAATTCGCCAGTGATGTCTGTTGAATGTGAAGGGGTACGTGGAACAAGTGCTGCTCCACTGCACTGCACTGCACGCACACTGAACCGAACCAAACAGTCTCACAAACATCTGCTTGGCCTTATCCCTTTCTGCTTGCATCATTTCCAGCGTCTTATGTTTCGATTCGACAAGCAAGCCAGAAACACACACAGCAGTTAGACAGTACAGCAGCAGTCGATAGTCTTTTGGAGATAGTTTCGTTAGGGGGGCAGCAGCAGCAATGCAGAGAAGTCGTGATGCTTCCTGCTAGGACAAGGAGTCAAAGACGGATGGACCTCTTCCCCCGCCACCACATTCCACACAGGACTGCCTTGGCTCGCCAACTGCAGTATCCTAGTCAGCACCAGCACAGCTCCCCCCACAAATGCGATTTATAAGATTTTGAAGGAACCAATATCCCCTGTCCTAGGGTTCCTCCCTTTTTCGTGTACTGTGCGAGATGTCGCTTCACCCCATTTCCAGATCGTCGTTTCTAATCTATGGTCCGCATCCGTCGCATGCCTAAATTATATACCCGATCCCGTGTGGTCACATTGCCTCCTACATTGTGGTCGATGCTTCAGCTCTAGGTCATCTGACATTGATCTGATAGTCGTCACACATATACCCTAATTGGAGCTCACCATTACTACCTGTCATGGCGTTACGGAAGCAGCCTTTTCCAACAGGCAAGGTTTTGCTTTGCCGTAGCCTTGGCGTTTCTCGCCTCCCGTGAAGCGTATTATTGTAAACTGATCCACGGATCAGTTTCTTAAAACGCGAAACTCTCGCGCACTGCTTAGTACAGTCTGAGTGCAACCAAATCTCTAAAAATAGGTCCTAGGGTTACATCCCCGTTCCAAGATCCATGTCTACATGTGCTCTTACCTCCATTATATCGTATCTCCATGTCTACCAAATAGTCTCCCCAATGTCTCCCCTATCCTAACCATATGTGTCTCTGGTCTTTTCCTTATTGTGACGAAATGTCCCTCCGATCTTTCCCCGTGCCGCGTCGCGACCACCAGAAGGCATCGAAATCGTGCACGTGCTGCTGGAGGCGCGCCAAACATGATTAGAGGACATATGCAGCGACATGTGCTCTTGTCTCCAACTTATACCGCATCGTCATGTGTAACAAAACCTTTCTCCATTCTCTTCCCTACCGTAACACGATGTCCAATGTCCGCGTCGCGATCACCAGAGGACATCGATATTGGGCACGTGCTGCTGGAGGCGCGCACGCGATGGCTCAAGCCCGTCGAGGTGTGCAACATCCTGCAGAATTTCCGCAAGTACGAGTTCCAGCTCAACCAAGAGCCGCCCGCCAAGCCGCCAAGTAAGGGTCGTCGACCGTTGGCCCTCGGGATCTCCCCACTCCCCTTCCCCACCCTTCCTCCCCTTCCCCCTCCCCACCTCCCCCCCCCCCTCCTCCCTCTCTGGCCCCCACTCCCTCTCCCCCGTGTTCTCCGCTGGATTTATGGATCTTGTTTGTTCGAGTTGACCGTACGATGCTTGTTCGTCGCGATCGCACAATGCGTGCTTGTAGTAACTGTACGATTTTTGTTTATCGAGATCGCACCACGCGTGTCTGGTTGTACAACACAATCCGAACGTTGATGCGACCCCGATGTCAAAGCAACCCTAATTTCAATGCATCCCCGAAATTAACGCAAAGTTTAACTTACATTCAACCATCTCTGTACGATGATGACGTGGCACGGCTGCGCGCAGGCGGATCGCTGTTCCTGTTCGATCGGAAGGTGGTGCGATACTTCCGCCGCGACGGACACGTGTGGCGCAAGAAGAAGGACGGCAAGACCGTTCGCGAGGCGCACGAAAAGCTCAAGGTACGTGCGGATCGTGCTCGATGCTGATTGGATGGATTGAGTGACCGCGGGAATGAATGGAATGAGTGGAATATTCGAGAGGAAGTAATGTGAGGAGGAATAAGTGTAACGTGAGGAAACGAAAGAAGAGAATGCTCTTCTGCATTGCGCCTGGGTCGACGGATCCGGTGGCTGCATGGCAGGCAACTCGCTTCTCGTCGCTTCGCTTCTTTCCAGTTCTGCGCAAAACGTGCTCTCTCACGATGCCAACAGGCTGCTGTTCCTCCAGGAGATTCGCTCTTTGCCCTCTCCCCTTACATAGTTCCCTGCATAAATACTCATAATTATACACAGCAGTACACTTATGCACGTATCCATATATCTGTCTTTCGCCCACTCCCCCATATTTGTTCGCGCGCGCGCGCGGCGTGGTGCGGTGCAGGCGGGCAGCGTGGATATCCCGCACTGCTGCTACGCACTGGCGGAGAGCTTCGAGTCAACTCCCGCCAGGCTCACGATTAACCTTGTCCGTTTCTCGCTCTCCCTCTCTCTCTGCAGGCGGGCAGCGTGGACATTCTGCACTGCTACTACGCGCACGCGGAGAGCGACGACCGCTTCCAGCGCCGCTGCTACTGGCTGCTCGACGGGTGAGCGCGCGAATGCTCCTCCCTTCCCCCCCCCCCTCCAAACTTTTCCCCTCACCATCCCCACGGGTGAGTGCGCGTGTGCCCCTCTTCCACCTGTGATTGCGCGCATGGCTCCCCGCCACGTCCACCTGTGATTTCGCGCTTGCCCCCTCCCTCTCCTGCTCCACTCGATCCATGTGAGCCAGTGCCAGGACCCTTGAAACTGTCGCGTCGTTCTCATTCTCGCCACCGTGCTGCTGCGGTATCAGCTTCTCTCTTTTGCATTGCTCTCCATCTGATCACTTCTCATCTCACTAAGCATGTTTTGTTGTTATTCAACTCTGATACCCCTCCCCACTCTTCCCCCCCACCTTATCCCCCACCTTATCCCTCACCCCCTATTCGATCCCCTCTACGTTTCCCCGTGCCTGTACGTTCGTCTCCGCGTGCTGCTGTGCTGCAGCGAGAACGAGAACATTGTCCTGGTGCATTACCGTGAAGTGGCTCAGGTAGATGCATGCATGCATGCCTCGCACACTCTCCTTTTGTAGAAACAAAAAGTCGTGCTTCTTGTTTCGAAGCACATCGCCTTGGTGCATTACCGCGAAGGGGCTCAGGTATCCCTTCCTAGCACACTCTGCTGCTGCTTACCTGCCTTCGTGCCCGCACCCCGTCCCCTCCGATCCCTCCCCTCTAGTCCCCCCCAATCCCACCGGTCCCCCGTAACCCCTCCGACCTCCTAAATCCCCGAACCATGACAACTCTGAATCAGGCATCTCCCAACCTCGTTTCGCCGTGTCTCCCCTCCCACCTCCCGCCCCCCCATCCTCCAGGGCACGGGGCGGGCGCAGCAGTCCCCCCGCCACAGCACGGTGGACTCCGTGCCAATCTATACCGCCCAGGGCCCCGACATGAGCATAGACGACCTCTCCGCGTCCGTGGGCGGCGGGGTGAGCGGGATGGGAGGCGGCGGAGCTCGCAGCGCGGGCATGGCGCTAATGGGCGGGGGAAGCAGCGCGGCTTTAGCGGGTATTGGCAGCGCCAGCGCCGCTGGTGGTGGTGCTGGTGGCGTTGGGGGTGTTGGGGGGGCGGGTGGGATGGGCATGCATACCCCTTCCACTAGTCGCTCTGGCAGCGGCCGCATGATAGGGCTTCCCTACGCTTCCAGTTCCGCCTCTGTGGGCGGAACTGCTGGCGGCGGGGCGGGCGGCGGCGGAGCAGGCATGGGGGCGGGCGGAAGGGGCGGGGGCGCGTTTTCCATGGATATCCCCGCGTCCCCCAGCCACGGGAACGAGTACTGCTCGTCGAACGCGGGCGGGAACGAGTCCGGGGCGTTCGTGGGCGGGGGGAGGCGTGGGGAGGAGGGCGAGGAGGATGAGTATGAGAGCGGTTCAGAACGGTTTGGTGAGGAGGGGGATTCGGCTCTGAACTGGACGCAGCTGGATATGCAAGGCGGGGGAGGGAGGGGCGTTGGTGGTGGGATGGACGATGCTGGGCTGGGTGTGGGTCAGCAGCAGCAGCAGGCGGTGCAGCAGCAGCAGTTGCGGCTGCTGCAACAGCAGCTGCTGCAGCAGCAGCAGCAGCAGGCGCCGCAGGGGCAGCAGGGGCAGCAGGTGGCGGGGGGGATGACGGATTTCATGGGGCTGTCGTCGCATGGCAGCCTGGGTGTCACGGGGCCGGCTGATCCCCTCTTGCAGCAGGTGAGTCGAGTTGTGAGTCAACCCAAAGCAGGTGGGTGGGTGTTGAGTCGACTCAAAGCAGCAGGTGGCGGGGGGGGATGACGGATTTCATGGGGGGCTGTCGTCCAGCTCTGTCAGTTGGTTGCACGGCAGCCTGGGTGTCACGGGGCCAGCTGATCCCCTCTTGCAGCAGGTGGGTCTCACTCTCCCTCTCCCCCTTCTTCCTCCCCGTGCTGCACACACTTTGTTTGAGATTGATTTTGAGAATTCTCAAAATCAATCCCCTCTCCTCTCCCTCTCCCTCTCCCCATTCTTTCCTCCCGTTGCTGCACACCCTCCCCCCTTCTCCCTGCGCTCACCTCCCGTCTCTCCCGTTCCCTCTCATACCCATTGTTCAGAACAACCAGCAGCAGCAGCTCTCGAGGCTGCTGGAGCAGCATCAGCAGCAGCAACAGCAGCAGCACCAGCAGCAGCAGAGGGACATGCAGTCGCTCCTGCGAGACACAGTGGTTCTCGACGAGCTCATCAAGGCGTCAGGCCTCGCAGGTACTGCTAACGCTGCTGTTAGTGTGTTGAGGCACCTCAAAAGTCGTCTCAATATGAGGTCTGGGGTCCCTAGAAAGCGGTCCCAATCTGAGGTGCCTCAGAAGCTGTCTCAATGCATGCAGTCGCTCCTACAAGACACAATGGTGTTGGACGAACTCACCCCCACCCACCCCCGCCCACCCCCGCCCACCCCCATCTCCCCACCTCCCCCCGCCTAAACACCCCCCACAACCTGCTGAACCTCCACCTTCCTGCAGGCTCGTTCGGAGCCGATGCCTCTGCAGCAGGCACAGGTGCTGCTGGTTCCGGGACTGCAGCATCGCCAGCAGCAGGGCCGGCAGCAGCAGCGGGCGCAGCAGAGGCGCAGCTGAACTCGCTCATGTATGCTCGCTCGGGCTCCTCGGGCCCACACACAGACCTGGTGCGTGCGGATGAGCGTGTGGGTGGTTCGCGTGTGTGTGTGTGTGCAGGATAAACGGTGTGGGTGGGGGGCGAACCGGTCCGTGTGGGGCCCAGACTGAACTCGCTCATGTATGCTCGCTCGGGCTCCTCTGGCCCACACACAGACCTGGTGCGTGCGGATGAGCAGGTTAGTGGTTCGCGTGTGTGTGTGTGTGCAGTATAAACGGTGTGGGTGGGGGGCGAACCGGTCTGTGTGGGGCTCAGACTGAACTCGCTCGCTCATGTATGCTCGCTGGGGCTCCTCGGGTCCACACACAGGCCTGGTGCGCGCGGGTGGTGGGCAGACAGGTGTGGGTGTGGGTGGGTGGACTGGTGTGTGTGTGTGTGGGTGGGTGGGTGATTATGTGGGTGCGGTGGCTGGTGCAAGGATGGGTGTGCGAGTGTAGAGGGTGCGTCAATGGCTATGCGAGGTTGGCAGGTACAAAGAGTATTTGGCATGCTCGTCTTTTCTCGCCCTTCTCTCCCCGCCCTTCTATCCTTACTCCCTCTCTCCCCGCTCCTCTCCCCCCGCCCCTCTCTCCTCACCCTTCTCTCCTCACCCCTCTCTCCTCACCCTTCTCTCTGCTCATCCCTCTCTCCTCACCCCTCCTCACCCTTCTCTCCTCACTCCTCTCTCCTCACCCCTCTCTCCTCACCCCTCTCTCCTCACCCCTCTCTCCTCACCCCTCTCTCCTCACCCCTCTCTCCTCACCCCTCTCTCCTCACCCCTCTCTCCTCACCCCGCTCCCCTCACACCTCTCTCCTCACCTCTGTCCTCACCCCCTCTCAATCAGCTCTCTACAAAAGCACCTTCCTCAGCAGGACCTGCACTCTCTTCCCCCTTTAATCCTCACCTTTTTGCTTCCCACATCCTCCCCCCGACTCCTCCCGCCCTCCCTCTGTCTTTCTCTCCCCCACCCGTCTCCCTGCTTCCCCAATTCTCCCCATACCTACACACCAGTCATCCCTCCTCCTGCAGACCCTTCCTCTCAACGAGGCAGGCAGAGAAGCAGCCTTCAGCGGAGGCGGCGCCTCCGGCTCCCCCCGAGCCATCGCTGCCGCCACCGCCGCTGCAGCCGCCGCCATAGCAGCCGCCGCAGCTCCGGCCGTACCTCCCGAGAGCTGGCTCGGCGCGTACCCTCCGGAGCTCCGAAGCTCCGGAGGCTCGGGGCGGCCGGGGTTCTCCAATATGTTTGATGAGATGCAGACGGATGGGGCTAACAGGAGCCTGTCTGGTTTCCCCCTGCCGCCCAGCGGCAGCAGCATGCCTAAGAGTGGGAGCATCCCTCAGAGCGGCAGCATGCCGAACGAACCAGCAATGTTTCGGAAGCTGGACAGCTTTGGAGAGTGGATCGAGGAGGTTTATAAAGGGGATGCTGGTGCTGGTGGCGGCGGGGGAGCAGGCGGGGACGGGGCGGGAGTGGGAGAGGACGCGGTTATGGGGGGTGGTGCCTTTCCTCTCTCTGCATCTGGAGCTGGTGGTGGCGGCAGTGGTGGCGGCGGTGGCGGTGGTTTTGGCAGCGGTGGCGGTGGTTTTGGCAGCGGTGGCGGTGGTTTTGGCAGTGGTGGCGGCGGTCCTGGTGGTGGCAGTGACGCGTTTGACATTAGAATCCAAGCCATGCGGCGATCTGCCCCCACGCCCTCCCCTCTCTCCTCCCCCGAGCCCTTTCCCTCCTCCCCCACCTCTTCCGGTATGGTTTCCCCGTCGTTTGGAGCCGGCGAGACGGGGTTGGAAAGGCAGGAGGTGAGTTTCAAGCTAGGGGTGAAGGAGGAGGCGGGAGGGGACGGCGAGGAGGAGCATGGTGTAGGGCTGGGGGGCAGCAAGTATGACCTGTCCTTCATGGGTGCTTCTCCCATGCTCCCTCTTGGTAGCACCGCTCCTGCTGCTGCTGCTAGTGGTGGGGTGTCTGGCGTGGGGGCGGGCGGAGGAGCAGGAGGAGCAGGGGGAGGAGGATGGAGAGGGGGAGGGAGCGTCGGGGGAGGAGGTTGGGGAGGGGGAGGGAGCGTGGGGGGAGGAGCAGGAGCAGGGTTAGGGGCGAGGAGGGGGATAGGCGGCGGGGTGCTGTCGATGGGGGGCATGGGGTCGGTGGCAGCAGCAGACTCGCCGCGCCCCATGGTGACCTTCTCCATTGCCGACTATGCTCCCACCTCTGCTGCCACCATGGGGGGCGTCAAGGTGCGTACTGCTGGTGTGCTGGTGTGCTGGTGTGCTGGTGTGCTGGTGTGCTGGTGCGCTGGTGTGCTGGTGTGCTGGTGTGCTGGTGTGCTGGTGCTGGTGGTAGGCAGGTGAAAAGGAGACCTGATGGTGACCCTCTGCGGCCGATGGTGACGTTTACCATTGCCGACTATGCGCCCACCTCTGCTACCACCATGGGGGGCGTTAAGGTGAGAGTTCTGGTGCTGCTACTGCTGCTGCTGCTGCTGCTGCTGCTGCTGCTGGGAGTGCTGGTGAGGGTGGTGGTGCTGCTGCTGCTAGTGGTGGTGGAACACGGGTGAAAAAGAGCAGCAACCGACCCTTTCCCTTCTTCCCAACCCGTCCTCCACACCCCCCCTCCCAACCACTTCCCAGGTGTTGCTAGCAGGCTCTGTCCACGACCCCAGAGGCACCCCAAGCCCCTACACGCGCCTGAGGCCCCTGCCCTCCTCCCCCTCCCCCCACTCCGATTCCCCTTGCCACCCCCCTTCTCCCCCAGGTGTTGCTAGCAGGCTCTGTCCACGACCCCAGAGGCACCCCAAGCCCCCACACGCGCCTGAGGCCCCTGCCCTCCTCCCCCTCCCCCCACTCCGATTCCCCTTGCCACCCCCCTTCTCCCCCAGGTGTTGCTAGCAGGCTCTGTCCACGACCCCAGAGGCACCCCAAGCCCCCACACGCGCTCCTCCCCCCGCGGCAGCTTCTCAGGCAGCGGCAGCCTTAGCGGTGGCGGGGGCAGTTTCGGTGCTGGGGGGGGTCTTGGGGGGAGCGGGCTTGGGGGGACCGGCAGCGGGAGCTTCGGTCGGGGGGACACAGTGTGGGGCGTGCGGTGGGGGGTGACGTTTGGAGAGGTGGAGGTGGAAGCTGAGCAGGTTGTGCACGGTGTACTGCGGTGCGTGGCCCCCATTCACAAGCAGGGGAGGGTTAGCCTGCGTGTTACCTGCACCCCTGCTGCTGCTGTGACTGTGACTGCTCCTGGGGGTGAGGGAGAGGGTGGTGGGTCTGCAGGTGTGGAGAGTGGGGGAGGCGGAGGGGGTGGAGATGCAATGAATCAAGACATGGCAGTAGCAGGGGGGGGTGGGGGGACGGGGGTTGGAGCAGCAGGAGGAGGGGTAGGAGGGGAGGGAGGCAAGGCGGTGAAGAGAGTGCCGTGTAGCCCTCCTGTTCCCTTCGACTTCCTCCCTCCTTGGCAGTCATTTAAAAAGAGCCTCGCTCTAGACCGAAACAGGATCATTGGCAAGAGTGGTCTTGGTGCTGGTGCTGCTGCTGGTGGCGCTGCTGCTGGTTGTGGGGGTGGTGAAGGGGATGGTAGCAGGCCGAGTTTGTCCCGTTTGTTTCTCTCTGAACGCGCTCTGCTCTCCCGCCTCCTCTGCTTCATCTCCCGCATCAACCGCGCCAGCCTGGCGGACGTCAGCGCTGACTGGGCGTGGGTGGATGAGGCGCTGGCGTCCACGTCAGCAGCATGCCCGGATGAAGCGGAGTGGAGGGGTAGGCTGGATGGGAACAGGGGGGGGGATTTGGCAGGGAGGGAGGGAATGGGGGTGGATAGGGAGGAGGAAGAGGATGAGGAGGAGGATGATGAGGAGAGAGAGATGAGCATGTGGGGCTATGGGAGTGATGAGGAGGACGCAGATGAGTATGCTCTCAGGCTGCAATGTCAAGGAGGTGCCGATACAGAGAAAGGAGGAGGGGGAGGGGGAGGAGGAGGAGTGGAGGGAGGAGTGGCGGGGGTCCAGGGGAGTCCAGTGCGGTTGGAAGGCGTGCTGCTGCAGGCGCTGATGCGGAAGCATCTGGGCCGTTGGTTGGCGCTGAACAGCGATGCAGCGAGGGAGGCGGGCAGGAGGGGCATGGGGCTGGGGCTGGGGCATCTGGTGGCGGCACTGGGGTGGCCGTGGGCTGTGCCTCTGCTCATGGCTGTGGGGTGGGACCTGAACGCGCGAGACAAGAGGGGGTGTACGGCGTTACACTGGGCTGCTGCTAAAGGGAGGTGAGTTGGTGTGATTGAGGGCATGTCGCTGCATATGGGCCGTCTCGTGGCGGTTCTGAGGTGGCTCCGGGGTCATGATTGATACTGCCTGATTCCCTCTCCTCCTTTCCTCATCCCATCCCTGCCCTACTCCCTCTTCCAACCCACACACCTCCCTGCAGGGAAGCAAGGGTGGTGGCGCTGGTGGCAGCGGGTGCCAACGCTTCTCCACCACTGAAACTGCCTCGTATACACTCCTAGTCTCGTCTGCTCATCCCATCCCTGCCCCATCTGTTCCCACCCCACCCCCTCACCGCGCACCTCCCTGCAGGGAGGCAATGGTGGTGGCGCTGGTATGGCAGCGGGCACCAACTCCTCTCTTCTGGAGTGAGTAGGAGGGGCAGAGCGAACAGCAGCAGACACGGCATCAGCATGCGGGCACACGGGCATCGCGGCGTATCTAGCAGAGTCATCTCTCAACGCCTCCCTCTCCTCCCCACTCCCCCCGTCTCTCCCTTTCCTCACTGTTCCCCGTTTTTCTCTCTGTCATCTTGCTGCTCTCTTCCTGCAGAGAGGCAATGGTGGTGGCACTGGTGGCTGCTGGCGCCAACTCCTCTCTGCTCGCGCGAGTGGGAGGGGCGGAGCGCACAGCAGCAGACACCGCATCAGCATGCGGGCACACGGGCATCGCGGCGTATCTAGCAGAGTCATCTCTCAACGCCTCCCTCTCCTCCATGACCATTCAGGACCAGCACCAGCTGGCCACCGACCCCTCTCTTCTCCAATCCGCCGCTGCTGCCGGTCACGCAGCCGTGGCCGCAGCAGCAGGTGCCAGCAGTGGCGGCAGTGCTGGTGCTGCTGCTGCTGCTGGTGCTGCTGCTGCCGGTGGTCTCCCGGGGGCGGCTCGTCCCGCTGCTGTTGCCGCATCTCCCGACATGCAGGAAACGCTGGATGCGATCCGAAGAACGGCGCAGGCCGCAGCGTTGATCCAGGAGCGGTTCAGGAAGCACTCGGAGCGAAGGCGCCAGCAGCAGGAGGAGGAGGAGGAGCTTAGAGAGCAGGAGAGAGCAGTGGCGGCTGCAGCGGAGGCAGCGGCAGGGCTTGGGATTGGAGGGGATGATGAGTTGGATGAGGAGGAGGCGAGGATGCTGGTGGCGGCGAGGAAGATTCAGAACGCGTTCCGAGGGCACAAGACCTTCAAGCAGTCGGAGGCGGCGCGGAGCATTCAGAGGCGGTTCCGCACGTGGAAGCACCGCAGGGAGTTTCTGCGCATGCGGCAGCGCGTGATCAAGATTCAGGTGAGGGTGGTGACTAGCAGGGTGACCCCAACCCCCCAGGCGCACGTGAAGGGGCACATTCAGCGGGTGAATTACAAGAAGATGAATTGGGGCCTGGGGATCATTGCCAAGGCAGTGCAATCAACCCTCCCCCTCCCACCCCCCCACCCTCCCCCATCCCTCTCGATTTCCTTTCCCCAGGCGCACGTGAAGGGGCACATTCAGTGGGTGAAATACAAGAAGATGAATTGGGGCCTGGGGATCATCGCCAAGGCAAGGTGTATATCCATCCTCCCACCCTCCCCCCCTCCCTCTTCCCTCCCCCCAGGCGCATGTGAAGGGGCACATCCAGCGAGTAAAGTACAAGAAGATGAAGTGGGGCCTGGGGATTATTGCCAAGGCGGTCCTGCGCTGGCGGTTCCGCCGCAGTGGCGTGCGGGGGCTCCAAGCCCAGCAGGGAGACTGCCACTCCGATGCGGATGGTGCGCTGTACGGGAGTGAGGGCGTGGAGGCGGGGGGTGGGGATGGGGAGGAGAGAGAGGTGAGTCTGGCGGTGAGCCGGATGCAGGCTATGGCTCATTCGGTGGAGGGACGGGCGCAGTATTCTAGGATGAAGCAGGCTCAGATTGACATGCAGCAGGAGATTCAGATGCAGCAGATGCAGATGCAACAGATGCAGCAACAGCAGATTCAGCAGCAGCAGCAGCAGCAGATGTTGATGCAGCAGCAGGCACAGGAGCAGCAACAGTATTCTGGCATGTCTGGTTTTCCAAGCCAACAACAGCAGCAGCAGCAGCAGCAGCAGCAAGTTCCTGATCTCTTGCAGCAAGCTCACCTGTTAACGCAGCAGCAGCAGGGGTCAGAGCAGCAATGGAACCAGTGAAACCATGTACCGTATGTCGTTGCGACACAGTTTTGACAGCTCTTGAAAGATTAAATGCATTTGCTTCTTGGCAATTATGGTATGTCATCGCATACACAGCAGGGCCTATTTTATCAGGGTAAATCACCCTGATGCCCTGATGAACAGGGTGGTTTTTAGGTAGTGACACTGATGCGGTAGGGTAATTTTTAGGACCTTCATTTACCCTGATGTGCCATGGTTTACGATTGTGCTACACTGTCGCCTCAGGGTTGCCTATCCTCTTATCGAGTTTTACCCTGAAGCGACTTCCAGCCAACCCCCGACCCCCCCCCCCCCCAACCTTCCCCTAACCCTCCTACCCAGTAACCTGGGAATCCCCTTTGCCAACTGTCGTAACTGTAAATTTCGGCACGACATTACGTGTGCTGGTACGAAGTGGGCCACCATTGGCCTTGAAAAATTGTTACACTGATGACCCAGGGTAGAATTTTCTGGATCTGCAAAAACCCTGACAGATCAGGATTTTCACTGAGGGATACTCTGATAATCAGGATTTTGATGATGTGCAACACTGATCGTAAGGGTTGGCTCAAACCAAAAATTAGCCCTGATACACAGTATAAGGTTCAAGGAGAGTAGGATTAAAGCTTGTTTTGTTGTAGCGGGCAGCTTGATTCAACAGTGGAAAGGGTGTGCTAGATTAGTGCAAGCAGCAAAATGCAGGGTGTAGAATCATTGCACTGCTGCACTGTAAGGGCGTATTCCTACGGCCTCCTATCAAGAAACCTCCTATCAAGATTGTACCTTTTGCCTGGTAAAAGTAGCGAGAGATTTTGGGTTTAGGAAATTTTTCAGTGAGAGCTTGATAGGAGGTTTTCTTGATATGAGGATAGGAATACGCCCTAAGTGGTGGATTTACTCTGAGAACAATTCATGTGTTGCAAAACCCATACATATGGTACGTATTTGCATCACATCACACGGATGCAATGTTGCAATGATGGAGGTTGTTTGACAGTGGAATAAACTGCTGTTTTCATCACAACACATTATTTGAGAGGGTCTCACACAACTAAAAACCATTATTTTCCATCGGGTGTCAACTAACAACCACGATTATCCAGCTGATTACACACAGCAGCTTGATGATGGCATGTCTGAATTGCAGAATTCCTTCCTAAAATGAGTGATAATATGTTGTGTTTTTTGGCTTCAGTTGTGTCTACACTACACTGGGATTTCAAATGACATGTGGTGTAGTAGACACAACCTTCTGTTGCATTTGGGAGAATATGCCACACGTAATCAACAAGGGTCTCGATAATATGTTTGGGAAAAACAAAACGGGTAAGGTCACTGCAAAGGGTGTTTTCACGTGTGTGATAACACGTTTCAAGGAAACAGTCACAATCAACTGGGAAAAAATAACGCGAATTGTCACAGATGAGATTCCCGCCCAAAATAGATAATACCCAAAACGAACCTGGATGCATTTTCGGATGAATCAACCCTAAACACAATTCGCCAGGTGTTTAGGGTTGATCCGTTCCCAAACCGCATCCGATTCCGATCGGGTTTTAGTTTTTTTTTTCGAAGTTAGCTGATTTGTTCGGCGCGAGCGGGAATTTTGTAAAGTTTCAAGAGTTTTTGGCGGGAGTAACATGTGTGACCATTCGTGTGATTTTTCACCTGTTGTGAGTTACTGAATCCGTGACCCCACTTACCAAACCCGTCAGCAAGCCCGATAGACTGACCGTACGCGTTTTGTTTTCCGGTCACGTTATCGAGTCCCATGTTTGTTACTTGTAACATATTTTCCCGTTGCATTTCTGTTTCACCAACCTCCTCCATTAAGCATTTATGCGAGATAGTCTGTACATACACTGTACCTTAACGGCCCGTACTCTGCACCTCCATAGCACGTGGTCGCGATTCGCTCGCAGTTTTTGATTGGCGTTTACCAACTCGCGCTGGATGCCCTAACGGCCCGCGATTCGTGCACTTCGTGCTGACAAGGATATTGCGCTAAAAGTTTTATGACACACATTTCCTCCTTTCCCCGTCCATTTATTTCAAGCAAGTTGAAACCACTTTGAGCCATACGCTATCTCCAGATTCTTCCATTCATCCCACACCACCCCGAAGCCAATCCCCCAGTTCCCAACACTCAACTTCCACTCGTTGGCGCCGGACTGAGATCCAGCGCGAGCTAGAATTCCAGCACATCAGCGTGCTGAGTCACCAGGCATGGCTTCTTGCATTCAACGGTGGCGTTTCTGTGGCGTTGGAATCAGGCGTGCGGAACAGTTCCTTCATTGTTTTGTTTCCTCTGACTTGGCTTCTATTTTGATCAGATCCGGCTCGTCTGAAGCGCCAAGTAAGAAAAATGTTTGTTGGAAGATCTCTGAACAGTTGTCGCTTCCTTCATTTCCAATCCAGCGCTTCATCGGAGAGGTTGGTCGACTTGCAGAGCCCGCCCTTCAAGCAGCAAAAATGAAGTCGCAAGTGACCTCGATTCTGTGATCCAATTTCTGTCGGAAATTCAGCCACAGATTGAAGGGCGGGGAGCAGTGAAGACACACGCGTTAGCCGACCCCACCAAGAGCAAGACCGCATCCAGCAAGGCAAAGAAACGAAGCATGCGTGTCTAGAACATCGGCACTGCCATTATGCCATACGCCGACAACGCATCACGCTGGCATGCTTGGGCAGTGGTAATTTTCTGTGTTTGTTTACAAGGTACGGTGCTCCCCCTCAAGAGGCGCACGAGCAGACTCCATGTCGATGTCGGGCAGCAATTTCAGTATTGGCTGCGACCATTCCCCCAGTCGGAACAGAATGTCTCAAACTGAGGGAGTACAGCACCAAAACGCTCGAAAAAATGAAGTGGAATTAATCCGTGTGCGATGCGAGGCTGGAGGATATTGGCCAATGACCATTCCACCATGCGAAAGGACAACTTCCGGCAGGCGAACGGACGCCCTCCACAACCTCGCATCCCAGCCCATCCCTCCCTACCGCCTCCAACCACACATCCTCCATTTCCCTTTCTGTCTCAGTGCCCTTTTCGCTTGCTGACATGACGAAAGACGTGGGCTACTGCTGCGCTGTACTGTGCACGCACCCCCCTGGTCCGTGGCCTGCCTCTCCCTCACACAGCCCAGCAGTGCATTGCACTGCATTGCCATACAACAGCTCGCACACTCACTCACTCACTCAAACACGAGGAAAAAATTAGTGCAACCATCCATGCAACCATTTATCCAACCCCGCTCTGTCCCTCCCCCCATCCCAAACGTCCTGGATAAAAGCCACCACGCTCACCCGCTCCACCATCATCAATCATCGAGTTTGCGCCTTCGCTCACTAGCCGAAACCCGCCAGAGTTTCCATTCCGAGCATTCTTAATCCAAATCAGGCCCACCCATACTTCGCCAATGTCCATGGCTCTCCAGTTCAACTCACCCACTCCAGACCACACGCACTTCCGCGCGTTCCTCCCTTTCGCTCCTGCCATGGAGCCTCTCCCCACTGTAGGCTTTCCGCTTTTCGCCGACTCGTTACACGCAAACAAACGCCTTCGATCCCTCTCATCGTCCCCCATCTCCGTCCCTCCAGCGGCTCTCCTCGATACTACGCTCAGCCTATCCTCTACTCCGATCGTCTCTCCCCCACCGTGCCCGCCGTGTAACGGCGCGATTTTGGAACGTTCGCCGTGTGACGACAACACCAATGCCGCGCTCCCCTTTCTCGCAATGCTCCGCCGCTTCAAGCCCCAAACGCAATCCCCGGCCGCCGCAATTCCCCAGATTCCTCGCGTCCTCAGCGCCAGTCCACTTCGGCGGACCAATGCGCCACTCCCCGCGGTTCCTGCAGCTCCCGCCGCTGCTCCCGCCGCTCACCCTGCACGCTGTCCGCTCCCGCCTGTGGAGGCCCTCCGCCGCGCCGTGAAGCGCTCGCACGCCGCAGCCCGACTCGACGAGGAGGTTACCAGCCAGCTTCGGTCCACCTATCCCTCGGATTGCCCCTTGCAAGTCCCGTCAAACGCGCTCGAGGTCGGTGCCGCGGCGTCGGGACTCCCAGCGGTGCTTCCGTGCGACGCTGGCGTGGCGGAGCGGCTCGTGAAGTACGACAGGCTGACGTCGTCGCTGCGTGGCTCTCTGCCGCCCGCGAATCTCGCGCAGTGGGACGCGGCGGTGGGCAAGCTGAGGGATCGCGTCGCGATGAAGGAGGAGTTTGGAAACGACGTGAACGGGTTCCTTCTGTTTCTCCACGCGCAGCTCGGCGCGCAGCAGCCGTCAGCGCGCAAGGCGCTTCAGCTGTTCGCTGCGTTCAAGCAGGCGCAGAGGCAGAGGCAGAACATGGGAGCTACGGTGGCATCTGAAGCGCCGCTGCCGCCGGCGGCTGCGGCGGTTTCGCGCCGTGTTTCGGCACAGGCTCCCGAAACTGACGACGATACCGCTTCCGTGTGTAGCAACGATCCCGAATCTGAAGGCTCACAGGCTGAGTCATCCTTTATTCGCCGTGACTCATCCACATCGACTTCCGTTCCTTCCGCAAGCGGGTGTCGGAGTGACGTGTGTTCGCAGCAGCTGAATGTGGAACAGCCGAGGCTGGGTCAGCCAAGGGTCGACCTTGGGATTGACGTGACGTGTCCTGCTGCTGTGAAGAAGATGCTTTTTGAACTCCAGTCCGCAGTGGTTCAGTTGGAGAGGAATGCCGCGATGGACGCGCGGATCAAGGCAGAGAGCCTTGCCGTGTTGCGGACCGCGCAGGGCCACTTATTATCGCGCCTCGCTACTGTTGTCCGCTCGGTGTAGATGGGTGCTGATCTGTCTCTACCTGAGCGTGGCGCGTGCCTCATGCACGCTTGGAGGGGTGCGGTGCAGATTATCCTCGTTACAACAACTTCGTGGAAAACAGGCCTTTCCATTTTATCCTAGTTGTCTTATCTATGACATCTGATGTCCCACAGGCGGATGCTCTTTTTGCTTGCCTAAAGGCAGCTTTTCTATGATTTGTGATAGAACTTGTAATATGATGTGCATAGGATTCAATTTCTCAATTCAGAGTTATTGTAATGAGTGCAATTGAGTGAACGAACGAGAATTGCACTATCGAAGCAAGAGTACAATGAGCGAAGGCATGAGCGAAGAATATATAGCGAAACTACAGTGGTAACGGTAATGGTCGCGCGACGAGCCTGGGACTGAGGTTGGGAAAGTGTCGAAGCGTAGGCCCGGAGCGCGGGTTACCAGCCTAGCCGTGAGGTCGGGATGCGATGTGCGAAAATGGCGGGATGATGAATTATGCGATGGTCGCGAGTGGTAACGTTGCTGACTGAGGTGCTACAGTGATGTACGCGTTGAGCAGGGATGCGAAGTAAGGAAAAGGGATTTTCCTTACACTACCCCCCTCTCCTAAAAGGTCCTCCTTACGAAGGCGCGTGGACGTCCTTGAAGTTTCGGCTGCGTAGATAGTCGGTGACGACAGGGTGGTTTTCAATTCTGTCCAGGGGAACCCAGTTGTCCTCGGTGGGTGTACGATCTTTCCAGCGAACCAGAAACTCAACTTTTCGGGTCCCTCGAGGGTCGCGAACTCTGTGGCTCAAGATTTTGTCGGGGGTGATGACTGGTTCGGTTGGTGGTCGTGACATGCTGGATGGTCGATGTCGTGGGAGTTGGCTCGTGGATGGTACGTAAGGGCGAAGCAGGCTGACGTGGAACGAGGGGCTGACGTACCAGTCAGCAGGAAGGAGGAGGTGCGCGGTGACAGGTATGATCATGTGACTGATTCGAAATGGCCCACAGTATCGAGGGCGGAGTTTGGGAGTGATGGGCAGGCGGAGGTTCTGAGTGTCGAGTAAAACGAGGTCGTCGGGCTGATAAGTGACGGGTCTGCGGTGGCGATCGGCGTTGCGTTTAGCGATGATATTTGATTTTTTAATTGCTTCTGCTGCCCTGGTCCGTGCTGCTTGCAAAATCTCGGCGAACTGTTGTGCGCGTGGAACGGGATTGTCGGGGTTTGGTGTCATGGGTACTGTTGGGTTCTGTCCGTAATTCAAGTAGAATGACGACTGTTGGGTCGTGGCAGATGGCGCGTTGTTGTATGCGAACTTGATGAGAGGCAGCTGCTGCTCCCACGTGTTTGGATCGTCACACGTGGCTCGAATGAGTTGCTCCATAGTCTGGTTTGTCCGTTCTGTCTGTCCGTCGGTTTCGGGGTGATACGATGAACTGAATTGAAGTCGCGTGCCGAATTACTGCCACAGGTTCCGCCAGAAATTACTGGTAAACTTCGTGTCCCTGTCGCTGATGATCGACGCTGGTATCCCGTGCAGTCGAACGACGGTGGTGATGAAGAGTCGGGCTGTTTCCTCGGCTGTGATTGATTTCCCGCATGCTGCGAAATGTGCCATTTTCGTTAGTCGATCGACGACGACCAGGATCGCGTTATTCCCACTCGCCCCGGCCGGTAACCCCGTGACGAAGTCCATCGTCACCTGCTGCCAAGCACGCTCTGGAGGTGGGATTGGTTGTAATTGTCATGCCGGCCGCTTCCTGGCTGACTTCATGAGTTGGCAAGTGGGACACGATGCCACGTGTCGTTGCACGTCGGTCAACATTTCCGGCCAGTAATAGTACCGCTGCAGCTGCTGCCGTGTTTTTTCTACTCCGAAATGTCCCGAGGTAACTCCGTCGCGTGCCTCCTGTAACAGCAGTTCCCGTAGTAGCGTGTACCCTGGTACCCAGATGAGGTCGGATCCAGCTTTTACGTAATAGGCTCCCTTGGCTGCTGCGAATTGCTGTGAATTTCCTCCTGTGAAGAATGGGTCTGTTTGATATCCGTGGGTAAATAGTCCTGTCAGTAACGGGCTGGTCTGGGCGATTAGTATCGCATGTATTTGGGCAGTGGGGCGGGTCAGTGCGTCGGCGATATTCGAGGCTCCTTTTTTATATGTGACCGTATAGTGGAAATTCGATTCGAGGAAGTCGAGCCACCGAATCTGTCGTGGGTTGAGGTGGGGCTGTGCGCGAAGGTACTGTAGGGATCGATGGTCTGTCCGTACTGTCACGTCTGCGCCGGTCAAGTAGCAACGCCACACTTTGAATGCATGCACGATTGCGAGCATTTCGCGGTTGTGTATCGGGTAATTTCGCTCAGGTGGATGTAGCTTGCGTGATTTGTAGGCGATGGGTTGGAGGCCGTTGCCGAAGTCCTGTAACAGTACGGCTCCGATGGCGATGTCACTCGCGTCTGTAACAACTTCGAAGGGGCGGTGTGGGTCAGCGATGCGTAGGACGGGTGGTGAACAGAGAACTTTTTTCAGGGCAGAGAAGGCAGCATGCTCTTTCTCCCCCCACGTAAAAGGGACCCCCTTACGCAGTAAATCAGTGAGCGGGGCTGTTAAGCGTGCCATGTCTGGGACGAACCGACGAACGTAATTAACAAACCCTAAAAAACTCTGTAGTTCCGTGATGTTCGTCGGGGGATGCCACGCTTTTACGGTATCCAGCTTCTTAGGGTCTATCTCAACCCCAGCCTCCGAAATGACGTGACCTAAAAACTCTAGTTTGTCCCGAAAAAACTCGCACTTGGAGCCCTTGGTGAGTAACCGATGTGCCTCTAAAATTTTAAAAACTGCTTCGAGATCTACTAAGTGCTGCTGCTGGTCCCGACTGTAAACGAGGATGTCGTCGAGGTAAACTATGACGCATTTATCTAAAAGTGGCCTAAACGCCTCGTTCATGGTCATCTGAAATGTTGCAGGCGCGTTGGTCAGCCCGAAAGGCATCACCGTGTACTCGGATGACCCGTACCTAGTCCTAAATGCTGTCTTGGCGCAGTCCGATGGTTCGACCCGAATTTGATGGTAACCTCCCCGTAAGTCTATTTTCGAAAATACTCGTGCGGTTCGCAGCTGGTCGATCAGTTCGTCGGCGCGGGGGATGGGGTATCGTGATTTTACTGTTACCCTGTTAAGCGCTCAGTAGTCGATGCACATGCGAAACCCCCCGTCTTTTTTCGGTGTGAACAGTATCGGTGCGGCGAACGGTGACGAGCTCGGTCGGATAAACTGCTTCTCTAACAGGTAATCTAACTGCTTCCTTAGCTCGTCGAGCTCGGGCTGTGTCAGTCGAAATTGGCGCTGTACAGTTGGCTGTGCCCCCGGTTCTAACTCGATCCTATGGTCATGCGCCCGCTGAGGTGGCAGCCCTTGCGGTAAATCATCCGGAAAGATACCCGGGAACCGTTTCAGTAGTGCATGTAGTTCGGGTGGTACGGCTGCCAACAGTTTCTGCAAATCACTCGGCCGGTCCTCTTTTTCCACTAATGCGATATCCACTGCGTACACGTCAGCTCTAGCAGCGACAGCCCGTTTCATCGTGATGGCGTTGACCTGGACCGTTGAAGACTCGGGTGGCTGCCAGCGAGGTAGGACGACCCAGTTACCACTACTTCGCACTGTGCAGCTACCTGTCGTCCAGTCAATTCGTGGGTTATACCGTCGCAGCCAATCACGTCCCAATAAAATGTCGTGCCCATCCAGTGTCGTTGCGAGCATTTCCTGTGTAAACCCGAAGTTCCCTCCGCAGCGGACCTTTACTCTCTCCACCTTTTCCCGTATAGCCAGTGGCGTGCCGTCGACTAAGCGTGCATCTATCTCAGGTAAGCATCGGTTAAGTGTTAACTGTAATTTCCGTGCGGTTGCGGTATCAACTAAGCTGTGACTTGCTCCTCCGTCAATAAAAATCTTCACTGCTGCTCCCTGTATTTTCCCGTAGATTAGTACCGGGCAATCCGTCTCTGTACCCTCCTTATTCATCCGAGCCCGATCGATGGCATAAATCGGTACTGTGACTCGGTGAGGGTCGGTGTGGTTGGGCGAGCAGGCAGTCTCGTCAGTAGTTGGCCCAACTTCTACTGACTGCTGGCGTTTCCCTGCCTCTGAGACTCCCTCCCCTGCTCTGCTCCTCGGCGCCTCAGCTCCTCTGGGCATTCGCTCTTGCGATGGCCCGGCCTGTTGCAAGCAAAGCAGCGCCCCTTAAACGGTGCGGCAGCTGCATTCGTTGCGACGGCGTGTACAATGGCGTGCTCGATCGGTCCCCGAGGACGATGTCCGTAATAGGACCCCGGTCTCGGTCGGCGTAGAATGTCGATCTTCTCGGCGAGCGCGAGAATCTCGTTGAAGTTAGAGAGTCCGCGCAGCATTATCTCGTGCGAGATGTCCGGCTTCAGCCCTCCGACGTAACGGTCCACCCGCTCCGCTTCGTGCATGTAGCCGACTTGCTCGCAAAGTGCGAGAAAACCGCTGGTATAGTCTTGAACTGACCCGAGATGGCGCCAAGTGCGCAGTTTCTGACGCGCCGAAATTGAAGCCGCGATCGGCTCAAAGCGCGCCCGAAGTCCTGCGCACCACGCATCCCACGTGCTGTATTGGGCGGTTTCGCAGAACGAACTCCAGGTGACAGCTGGACCCGAGGGCCCATCCTCGTGCGACGGTGGCTCGTAGGCGCGTGGCGACGTAACGATGACTCGCCACCAGTCCATGGCGGGGCCCCTTAGTAGTGAAACCGCATACCGGATCTTTGCGGCGTCCGACTCGACGTAATTGGCGTCGAAGAAAACGTTCATCGTGAAGACCCACGATTGAACTGTCGGACCGCCGCGTTGACTTGGGTCGAAGCAGGGCGGGCGTTGCGGCTTGAGCGGCATTGGTGCCATGTTGGGTTGTTCGCCACTTGTCGCCGCAAATTCCACGTGCCGACGGACTTCTCGAGGCTCCCGTGGGCTTGGTGCGATCCTGTTTCCTCCCATGCCAGGCATCGGCTGGGCGGCGCCCTCACTAGCTGCGCCTGAGCGTTGTCCCGTGCTGTCGTGTTGTGTTGGTGTGCCGGACGAGATGATGATCGGCTCATCCGAACGTGCAGATGCGTTTGTTGGTGCGTGGGATGTCGTCGGTATGTTCATCGTGGATTGTTGACGGGCGGAGTCACGTTCCGCCGTGAGGGTCGCGATTTCAAGCGCCGAATCCTCCAGTTGACGCACGAGACGATCAAGTTGCTCCTGCGTCAATGTGGCGAGCGTGAAGTCGTCCATGGCGGGGGTGTCGGGCAAGCTCAGCGAGAGCCTCGGTCGTGGCCGTGCGTGCTTGCGAGAGAGCACTACGAGCGGCGGTGCTGTATCGCTGAGAGACGTCTACCCCCCCCAAAAATTGAGATAGTGGGGAAGCGAAGGTGTGGATGCGGTCCGAGATGGGATCGTAGGCTCTGAATAGCAAGTGTTACGAGTGCAATTGAGTGAACGAACGAGAATTGCACTATCGAAGCAAGAGTACAATGAGCGAAGGCATGAACGAAGAATATATAGCGAAACTACAGTGGTGACGGTAATGGTCGCGCGACGAGCCTGGGACTGAGGTTGGGAAAGTGTCGAAGCGTAGGCCCGGAGCGCGGGTTACCAGCCGAGCCGTGAGGTCGGGATGCGATGTGCGAAAATGGCGGGATGATGAATGATGCGATGGTCGCGAGTGGTAACGGTGCTGACTGAGGTGCTACAGTGATGTACGCGTTGAGCAGAGATGCCAAGTAAGGAAAAGGGAATTTCCTTACAGTTATCATATGGCTTTTCAGTAACATTCAACAGTCTTTCGCGATATCAGTTGTCCACTTCGCACACATGTAGTTCTTGTGTTCATGCTTCCAAATCATAACTCCTCTTTCCCTAGCATGAGTCCTCACCTAGGATCCACGCGATCCCGCCATTAGCTAAGCTAAGGCGTGCGTAAGGACCTAGTTGCTTCATGTAGGGAGAATTGTTTCTGCTGCACGTGGTGCTGCCGTACGTGTTCTTCAGAACCTTCTCTCCCATCTCCACGTGACGTTCGCGGCACCAGGTTTTGCGGAATCTTGTTCGCAGATGAGAGCTTGGCTAAGCAGATTTATGGTCACTTCGTCGCACGAGAAATCACGTGGACGAGTAATTCTGAGTGCCTGAGGCTTCCCGATCGACTATAAGCGGGTGCTCTTTAGAACACTCGTCCTATCTCAGTGATAAAGCAATCAGGAGTCGCAAAAGCCCGACAGTTTCTGAAACGAGGCTCCGTGAAGCATCTCCAACCGAAATTTGGGCGTCCCAAGCAAATAGCAGATCCTGAGAGATTGTGTTTCCTGCTCGAGCTTCATGTATAGCAATATCTAGATATTCGAAACGTTTCATATTACCGTCTAGACAGCATACTACCCTTTATTCCCACTCTGAGAGCGGAATATCTGAGAATTGATACTAAGCCACCCAATTATATCAACAAAAGTACGTAAACAGTCGAGATGGGAGATTCCAAACCCTCCGGAGGCGGCGGCGGCGGCGGCGGAAGCGGGCTACAGCTCGATCTGGACACGTTCGGCCGCCGCCTGAAGCTTCTCTACGACAGCTGGCGAAAGGACGAGAGCCGTTCGTGGGGTAACACGAGCGCGTTCGCCGTCGCGACTCCGCCGGCGAGCGAGGACATGCGATACCTTAAGTCGTCGGCGCTGCAGATCTGGTTACTGGGTTACGAATTCCCCGAGACTGTCATGGTGTTTCTGCTGGGCGGCGGAGTCGGCGGGGAAGGCGGCGGAAGCGGCGGAGCGGTGCACGTGGTGTGCAGCCAGAAGAAGGCACAGCATCTGGAGGCCGTCAGGCGCGTGTGCGCGGAGAAATCCGGTAGGGGGGAGAGATTGCCTGGGATCAGTTCGGAAGAGATAAGGGGGGATGTGTTAGATGTTTGGATGATGAGGATTTGGAGAGAGGGAAGGGTGTGAGGCGGGGAGGGAGGTTGGATGGGGGAGGGGAGAGCGGGTGTTAGGAGCGAGGGCAGACGATAGGATCAGCCCGGGAGAGATAAGGGGAGATGCGTTAGACGTTCGGATGATGAGAATCCGGAGAGGGGGAAGGGTGTGAGGAAGGGAGGGGGGTTGGATGGGGTGGGGGAGCGGTGTTCTAAGGTTAGGGTAGACAGTGGAGTATATATACACCTGAAGTGACCGGCCACCCTAATTGACCAGCCAATAGACGATTTTAATATCTGTCTTACCAGACCACTCCCCCACTCCCCCCTCTCCCCCCTCCCCACTCCCCCTTCCTCCCCCCCCTTTCCTCCCCCTCCTTCCCTTTCCTCTCCCTTACCCCCTTCTCGCCGCGCCAGGTGGAGTGGAGATGGTGCTGCACCCCAAGCCTCGCAGCAAGGACGGCCAGTAGTATTTTGACCTAAGCGACCTCTACCTGTCCCCCCTCCTCTTCCCCCATTCCCCGTTCCCCTCTCCCCCTCCCCCTTCTCTCCCCCCCGCGCCAGGCGGAGTGGAGATGGTGCTGCACCCCAAGCCTCGCAGCGAGGACGGGTCCTCCCAGATGGCGCAGGTCATCGACGCCATCCGAGCCTCCGGCGCAGGTTTGGCAGGCGGAGGTCCGGTGCGGCTGGGCGTGCTGGCAAAGGAGGCTCCGGAGGGGGCGATTATGGAGAAATGGGCGGCGGCAGTGGAGGCAGCAGCGGGTGGGGGCGAGGGCGGGGAGAGTGGTGGAGAGGGGTTGGAGACGGTGGATGTGGGGCCGGCGCTGGGGGATGTTCTGGCGGTTAAGGATGAGGGCGAGGTGATCAATATCAAGAAAGCCGCATTTCTTAGCGCGCAGGCGCTCAAGGTGTGATGGGGTTGGATGTGGTTGGATGTGGTGGGTTTGGATGAAAGAGGGGATGTCCTGGCGGTTAAGGATGAGGGCGAGGTGATCAATATCAAGAAGGCCGCGTTCCTTAGCACGCAGGCGCTCAAGGTGGAGTGATGGGTTTGGATGGGGTGGGGTTGGGTCGGGTGGGGTGGGCTGGGATGGGGTGGGTCTGGATGAAAGACGCGAATGATTGGATGATGGGGTGGATGGGGTGGAGTAGGGTTGCTGTGAGGTGGGATGGGGTGGGGAGGGGTCGGCCCGCCTTCTTTCTTCTAGGCGTTTGTGATGCCGCAGATGGAGTTCTGATGAACAAGGAGCGCAGCTCGTCCTTCCCTTCCTCTCCGTCTCCTCATTTCGACCCCGCTCTTGTCTCTCCCCGCTTCCCCCCCTCCCAGGCGTTCGTGGTGCCCAAGATGGAGGTGTTGATAGACGAGGAGCGTAGCATGACGCACTTGCCTCCCCTCATGCTTCTCCATCCCCACCTTCCTCCCGCCCCTCCCCTTTCAGGCCTTTGTGGTGCCCAAGATGGAGGTGCTGATAGACAAGGAGTGCAGCATGACACACTTGGCTTTCCTCATTCCCCTCGCTCTCCTCCTTCCCCTCCTTCTCCCCTCCTTCCCCGGCCATGTCTCACTTTCTCTCCCCAACCTCAGGCGTTCGTGGTGCCCAAGATGGAGGTGCTGATCGACGAAGAGCGCAGCATGACGCACGCGGAGCTGATGGAGCAGACAGAGGAGGTCATCACCGACCCCGCCAAGATCAAAGTCAAGCTCAAGCCCGACAACTGTGACATCTGCTACCCGCCCGTCTTCCAGGTACATCTGCTACCCGCCCGTCTTCCAGGTGCATAACACCTGTTTTCCAGATAACTGCCATGTCTGCACTCCCCCCGTCTTGCAGGTAAGTTAACTGTGACGGCACATTTTTTCTGCTGTGATCCGCCTGATGTTTGTCACTTTTGTAGTCTTCTTCTATTCAACCATCTCCATCCCACCCACCTCTCCATCCCACCCACCTCTCCATCCCACCCACCTCTCCATCCCACCCACCTCTCCATCCCACCCACCTCTCCATCCCACCCACCTCTCCATCCCACCCACCTCTCCATCCCACCCACCTCTCCATCCCACCCACCTCTCCATCCCACCCACCTCTCCATCCCACCCACCTCTCCATCCCACCCACCTCTCCATCCCACCTTTCCTTTCCTCCTCTCCATCGCTCCTCTCCATCGCTCCTCTCCATCCCCTCTCCATCCCCTCTCTCCACCCCTTCTCTCCTTGCATCCCTCCCCTCTCACTCCGTCCACACCTCCACAAACCCCTCGCCGTTCAGAGCGGAGGGCAGTACGACCTGAGGGCGTCAGCAGCGAGCAGAGACGACCCGCTGTGTTATGACTTCATGGGTGTCATCATCTGCGCCATCACCTCTCTCCATCCCTTCCTCTTCCCTTCACCCCTCCCCTGTGTTCTCTTGTCTTGTTCAGAGCGGGGACCAGTACGACCTGAGGGCGTCAGCAGTGAGCAGAGACAATTCATTTGTGACACTACTCCATGGGCGTCATCATCTGCACCATCCTATCTCACCCTTTCCCTCTCTTCCGCCCACCCCCATCCCTCCCCTGTGCTTTTCCCTCGGCAGAGTGGAGGGCAATATGACTTGCGAGCGTCAGCAGTGAGCAGCGACGACCCTCTCTGCTACGATTCCATGGGCGTCATCATCTGTGCCATCGGCGCCAGATACGCCTCCTACTGCTCCAATGTGGCGCGCACCTACCTGATTGATGCTACCAAGGCACAGGAGAAAGCGTACCAGGTGAGGGGAGGGTGGAGGGTGAGAGGAGTGCTTGAGAAGGCCTGGGAAGGGCTGCACAGGAGGTATGTGGGGGGCTGGGGTTTTGTATAATGCTGATCTCAAAACACTTCGTGAAGATTATTCCAGAACCTGGTCAATTCTCATTCCATATACTTATTTTACTAACTCTATTTTGGTGTCAACACCTCATTTTCAAATCCTTACGCGATTCATATTCTTGTTGCTTTCCTCCCCCCTCTCTCCTCTCTCTCCCCCCGCCCCCCCCCCCCCCCCTCTCTCTCCCCCCTCCCCCCCCCCCCCCCCCCCCCCCCCCCTTTTTTTTTTAACCTCCCACCACATCACCAGGTATTGCTGAGGGCACAGGAAGCAGCGATTGCAGCGATCAAGCCGGGGGTACGGCTGGGCGATGTGTACCGTGCTGCAGTGGCGGTGGTGGAGAGGGAAGCTCCAGAGCTGGTGCCTCATCTCACCAAACACGCCGGCACTGGCATAGGCATCGGTGAGACAAGGGGGTAGGCATAGGCGTGGCGCTAAGGCTGGTAGTTGGGGTGCAGATGAAAGATGTGTACCGAGCTCCAGAGCTTGTGCTCCCCACCTGACCAAACACGCTGGCACCGGCGTAGGCATCGGTGAGTGAGAGAAGGGGTTGAGGGATAGGCTGGGTGCTTCAAGCTAGGGCTACGCAGTCTCACACTGCCCCCTTCATGCCCTGTGCTCCCTGCGCGGCTCGGTGTCCTGTGCTGCAGATTTTTGAGAGGCCGGTCTCACTCTCAACGCCAAGAAAGAGCGCACAGTGAAATCAGGCAGGGCGTTCAGGCAGGGTGCTTCTGGGGCTCCATGGCCTCACCAACCCCAGTTTCGAGTGTGGCTCCCACTCCTGTTCATCGTTTCCCCTCCCCTCCTCGCTTCCGCTCCCCTCCGCTCCCCCTCCTTCTGTATTGGTCCAGAATTCCGAGAGGCCGGCCACACTCTCAACGCCAAGAACGAGCGGACGGTGAAATCAGGCCTGGCGTTCAATGTGGTGCTGGGCTTGCACGGCCTCACACTGCCCCCTGCTTGTCTGCCTGCCTGTCCTGTGTTGCCCTGTGCTGCTCTGCAGAGTTCCGAGAAGCCGGTTTGACCCTCAACGCCAAGAGCGAGCGCACGGTGAAATCGGGCATGGCGTTCAACATGGTGCTGTGCTGAGCTTGCACGGCCTCACCAACCCCAGTTTCGAGTGTGGCTCCCACTCCTATTCATCGTTTCCCCTCCCCTCCCCCCTTCTTTCCCCTGCTCGCTCCCTCCTTCCCCTCTTGGCCCAGAGTTCCGCGAAGCTGGTCTGACCCTGAACGCCAAGAACGAGCGGACGGTGAAATCGGGCATGGCGTTCAACGTGGTGCTGGGCTTGCACGGCCTCACCAATCCGGAGGCCGGGGGAGGGGAGGAGGGGGCCGAAGCGAACGGAAACGCTGAGGGCGCTGGAGGCAAGGAGGGGGGGAAGGAGGGGAAGGGGGGCAGTGCAAAGCTGAGGAAGTATGCGCTACTGGTGGCTGATACAGTGACGGTGAGGGCCGCTGCTGACAAGGACCGCTGGGTGGACGTCGCCACTGCCTCTGCTTCTAAGTCATTTGCCGACGTTGCCTACTCGCTCAAGGTGTGCTCGCTGTGTGGGATCCTTCAAGGTCTTCTTACTTATTCACCCCTTCAAGGAGGGTGGGGTGTGTGGGGTGAAGGGGCACTGCAAGGGTAAGGAAGGCACTGTGGGGTCTAGGTGCGCTGCTGCTGGTGGCGGATACGGTGGCGGTGAGGGCCTCTGCTGACAAGGACCGCTGGGTGGACGTCGCCACTGCCTCTGCTTCTAAGTCATTTGCCGACGTTGCCTACTCGCTCAAGGTGTGCTCGCTGTGTGGGATCCTTCAAGGTCTTCTTACTTATTCACCCCTTCAAGGAGGGTGGGGTGTGTGGGGTGAAGGGGCACTGCAAGGGTAAGGAAGGCACTGTGGGGTCTAGGTGCGCTGCTGCTGGTGGCGGATACGGTGGCGGTGAGGGCCTCTGCTGACAAGGACCGCTGGGTGGACGTCGCCACTGCCTCTGCTTCTAAGTCATTTGCCGACGTTGCCTACTCGCTCAAGGTGTGCTCGCTGTGTGGGATCCTTCAAGGTCTTCTTACTTATTCACCCCTTCAAGGAGGGTGGGGTGTGTGGGGTGAAGGGGCACTGCAAGGGTAAGGAAGGCACTGTGGGGTCTAGGTGCGCTGCTGCTGGTGGCGGATACGGTGGCGGTGAGGGCCTCTGCTGACAAGGACCGCTGGGTGGACGTCGCCACTGCCTCTGCCTCCAAGTCATTCGCCGACGTTGCCTACTCTCTCAAGGTGAGGTCCCCTTACTCCCTAAAGGTGTGCTTGGTATGTGGGATGAAGGGGGAATGCAAGGTCAATGCGGACACGGTGACGGTGAGGGCCTCTGCTGACAAGGACCGCTGGGTGGACGTCGCCACTGCCTCTGCCTCCAAGTCATTCGCCGACGTTGCCTACTCGCTCAAGGTGGGGCCAATGGGGGGTTGAAGAGGGGATTTGGGGGGCAATGACGGGGGAAAGGAGGCGGGAAAGGAGGGGGGAATGAGGGGGGAAGGAGTGGCAGAAGGAGTGGTGCAAGGAGGATGGGATGGGGGGAAGAGGGGGAGTACGAGGGCGTGCGACTGGCAGAAGCAGCAGGCAGGGCAGAGCCCGTTGTGTCGCGCGGGAGAACCAGGAGGCAACAAAGGAGGTGCTGCGGCGGCTGCACCAGGCAGAGCTGGCGAAGCAGAAGATTGAGGAGAGGAGACGGCCCGGCGGCTCGCTGCTGCCTTCCTTGCTTCTCTGATCGCTCCCTCTCCTTTCACTTCTTGACTCGTTTTTCTTTGCCAGGGGGAAGACGAGGAGGAGGACACGGACAAGGGCAAGCGACCAGCAGAAGCAGCAGGGGCTGGAGAACCTGCTGTGTTCGCACGGGCGCACCTGCGGTCGGAAAATCAGGAGGCCACAAAGGAGTTGCGGCTCCACTTGCGTGTCTCACCTCTCCCATTCTATCCCTCCCTTCCCTTCCCTGTCAGGGGGAAGACGAGGAGGAGGAGGACACGGACAAGGGCAAGCGACCGGCAGAAGCAGCAGGGGCTGGAGAACCGGCTGTATTCGCCCGGGCTCACCTGCGGTCGGAGAACCAGGAGGCCACAAAAGAGGAGCTGCGGCGGCAGCACCAGGCGGAGCTGGCGAAGCAGAAGATCGAAGAGACGGCCCGGCGCCTGGCTGCTGGGGGGCTGGGCGCACGCGAGGGCGAGGGGGCTAAGAGGCAGACGGGCGACCTGGTGTCGTACGGGGATGTGGACGAAATTCCTCTGGCCATGAAGGACTATAAGATCCAGGTAGGAGGCGTTGGAAAGAATGGGGGGTAGGGTAGGTGGTTGTTGAGAGGACAATGACAAGCGCAGGCGGAGCTGGCGAAGCAGAAGATCGAGGAGACGGCTCGTCGGCTGGCTGCTGGGGGGCTGGGCGCACGCGAGGGCGAGGGGGCTAAGAGGCAGACGGGCGACCTGGTGTTGTACGGGGATGTGGACGAAATTCCCCTTGCCATGAAGGACTACAAGATTCAGGTAGGTGGCAGTTGGGGATGGAGGGTGGGGGCGAGGGGGCGAAGAGGCAGACGAGCGACCTGGTGTCGTACGGGGATGTGGACGAGATACCCCTTGCCATGAAGGACTACAAGATCCAGGTAGGGTAGGAGTTGGGGGGCGAGCTGAAGGGGAGAGTGGGGGGAAGGGTGGGAGCGGGAGGGGGTGGGGGGAGGGGGAGGGGGAAGGATTTCTTTTCTTCTTCTTCTTTCGTAAAAGAAAGCTATATGTATTTATGTATGAGAGCATATAGTTCATGGATGGATTGAGCAGCAGAGACTTGATCTGGTGCTGTATGGTGATGTGGACGAAGCCTCACCCCTCTGTTTTTGACCCCACAGCTTATCCCACTGCCCTCCCTCTCCCTTCCTCTCCTTCTCCTCCCCTCTCTCCTGGTGGATCAGCGCCACGAGTCCGTCCTCTTGTGTCTTTCCACCCGCACACACACCTTTCTCTCCTCCACACCCTTCCCCACCGCTCTCGCTCCTTCCCCCCCTTCCTCTCTCCCCTTCCTCTCCCCTCTCTCCTGGTGGATCAGCGCCACGAGTCTGTCCTCCTCCCCATATACGGGCTGCTCATGCCGTTCCAACCCACACAATCCCTCCCCTCCGCCCTTCACCCCTCTCCACCGCTCTCTCTACCTCCCTTGCCCCCTTGTTCCCAGGTGGATCAGCGGCACGAGTCGGTGCTACTCCCCATATACGGGCTGCTCGTGCCGTTCCATGTGTGCATGATCCGCAACGTCACCAGCCAGCAGGACGGAGGGCACATCTACATCCGCATCATCTTCAACGTGCCCGGCGCAGGGTTCAACGCTGCCGACCTGCCCATGCAGAAATTTCCGGACAGCATCTTTATCAAGGAGCTTTCCTTCAAGTCTACGGATTCCCGGCATGCCAACCAAGTAAGCACATGTAACCAGGTAACCCGGTCTAAAAAGGTGGGTACATGAGGCCATCTCATGCAGGTAGTCATGCTTGTGGGAAGAGGAAGAGGCAGGTAGCCTGGAGTGCCAGCCAGCAGGACGGAGGGCACATCTACATCCGCATCATCTTCAACGTTCCGGGTGCGGGGCTCAGTGCCGCCGACCCGCCCATGCAGAAATCCCAGATAGCATCCCAGAGTCTATAAGACTCACACGTTATCAAGGAGCTTTTCTTCAAGTCTACGGATTCCCGGCATGCCAACAGGGAATCCGTAGACTTATAACGTCACACATTACCGTGTGACCCTTATAGTCAGGTGGCATATAATCAGAAAACGTGTACCTGGTGCAGCTCAGTCAATCCATGAACAAGCCTTTTCCCTTCTACCCTCACCGCAACTACCTTCTCCGCCCTCCCACTGTCCTCCTCTTCTCACTGCAACACCAGGTGGTGCCACTCATCATCAATACAATGAGCAAATTATGGCTGTGGGAACTGGTTGGAGCGACACCAAACCAACGTTTCCATTTTTTTGGTAACCAAACTTCCCCCCTTCCTCTCGCTCACCCTACCTCTTACTTGCAACAATCACCAGGTGGTGCAACTGATCAAGACCATGAGCAAGCACGTGCGGCAGCGGGAGTCGGAGCGCGCTGAGAGAGCGACACTTGTCACGCAGGAGAAGCTCCAGCTCAGCAAGGGCCGCCCGCCCCGCCTGCCGGACCTCTGGATCCGACCTTCCTTCGGCGGAAAGGGGCGAAAACTCACCGGGTCGCTGGAGGCTCATCTGAACGGGTTCCGCTATTCCACTGCCAAGGTGGGTTGCTGGTGTGGTGCAGTGATGTGCTGCGGCATGCGTTTCTGTGGTGATGCGTCTTCTTAAGCACCTCACAAATTTGCTGGAGGCTCATCTGAACGGGTTCCGCTATTCCACTGCCAAGGCAGGTTGTGCGGTGGCGTGTGGTGGCATGCGGTTCTTTGTGATGGTGGGTTCTTGCAACCACTCCCCGCTTTCTACCCTCTCACCTACTCCATCACCACCCTCTAAACACACCAATCCCTCACCAGCCGGACGAGAGGGTGGAGGTGATGTACGGCAACATCAAGCACGCCTTCAGTGAACCTCACCTTTTCTCCCCTCTTCCTTACCTTCCTTAACCTTGGTCCACGGTCCACCCTTTTATCCCCCCCTTTAATCCCACCAGCCGGACGAGAGGGTGGAGGTGATGTACGGCAACATCAAGCACGCCTTCAGAGAACCTCACCGTTTCTCCCCTCTTCCTTACCTTCCTTAACCTTGGTCCATGGTCCACCCTTTTATCCCCCCCTCTAATCCCACCAGCCGGACGAGAGGGTGGAGGTGATGTACGGCAACAGCAAGCACGCCTTCAGTGAACCTCACCTTTTCTCCCCTCTTCCTTACCTTCCTTAACCTTGGTCCACGGTCCACCCTTTTATCCCCCCCTCTAATCCCACCAGCCGGACGAGAGGGTGGAGGTGATGTACGGCAACAGCAAGCACGCCTTCAGTGAACCTCACCTTTTCTCCCCTCTTCCTTACCTTCCTTAACCTTGGTCCACGGTCCACCCTTTTATCCCCCCCTCTAATCCCACCAGCCGGACGAGAGGGTGGAGGTGATGTACGGCAACATCAAGCACGCCTTCTTCCAGCCCGCTGAGAACGAGATGATCACCCTCCTGCACTTCCACCTACACAACCCCATCATGGTCGGCAAGAAAAAGACAAAAGACGTGCAGTTCTTCGCCGAGGTCATGGAGGTGGTCCAAACCGTGGGCGGCTCTCGCCGCTCAGCTTACGACCCCGATGAAATCGAGGAGGAGCAGAGGGAGCGGGAGCGGCGGAGCAAGATCAACCGGGAGTTCAAATCCTTTGTCAGCGCGGTGCATTCTCTCTGGGAGAAGGACCGCGAGCTCGCTCGTCTCGACCTCGAATTCGACGTGCCGTTCCGGGAATTAGGGTTTCACGGCGTGCCGCACAAGTCGTCCGCGTTCATTGTACCGACAGTGAACTGCCTCGTGGAGCTGATAGAGGTGCCCTTCCTGGTGGTCACTCTGAACGAGGTCGAGATTGTGAATCTAGAGCGCGTGGGTCTCGGGCAGAAGACATTCGACATGGCGATTGTGTTCAAGGATTTCAAGCGGGATGTGCTGCGGATTGATGCGATCCCGAGCACATCGCTCGACTCGGTGAAAGAATGGCTGAATTCGATGAACATCAAGTACTATGAGTCGCGGCTGAATCTCAGCTGGAAGGCTATTCTGCAGAATATTATGAGCGATCCCGAGGCTTTTCTGGCGGACGGTGGGTGGGAGTTTCTGAATCTCGAGGCGTCGGATAGCGAGGGGGAGGAGTCGGAGGAATCGCAGGCGTACGAGCCGTCGGATCTGGAGGAGGCTGCATCCGACGATGACGATGACGAGAGCGAGGATGATGAGAGTGTGGTGGATAGTGAGGAGGAGGAGGGGGAGGAGGAGGAAGAGGAGGAGGAGGAGGGCCCGACTTGGGATGAGCTCGAGGCGAAGGCTTTACGGGAGGATCGGGAGAAGGGGGAGGAGAGTGATAGTGAGGGGGAGAGGAGGAGGAGGAGGAAGGGAGGGGGAGGGGGTGGAGGGGGAGGAGGGGGGAGCGGTGGCGGGGGAAGGCCTGGGGATTCGCGAGGAGGGGGAGGGGGAGGGGGAGGGAGCGGGGGGAAGGGGGGGTGGAGCGGGCGACCAGAGGGGAGGCCGATGGGGAAGGGGCCTATGGGGAAATCCGGGGGGGGAGGGGGGAGGCCGATGGGGGGAAGCAGTGGGGGGAGGCCGGGGGGAGGGGGAGGGAGTGGGGGGAGGCCGATGGGGAAAGGGGGGAGCGGGAGGGGGGCCCCTCCGCCTATGGGGAAGAGGCCTATGGGGTCGGGGTCTGGAGGGCCCATGAAGCGACCAAAGTACTGACACTTAGGTAAGTGACAGTGGGGAAACGTGGTTGGGCGCTTACGAGTTGTGCTGGCTCCTAGGTTATTTTAATGCCACTTGCGACTAGGCTGCCACTTAGGTTACCACTTAAGTTGCCATTTTATTTGCCACTTAGTTCGCCATTCACCTTGCTGCTTAAAAATGTTCAGGTTCTGGGTACACATGTGCATTTAGATTTTGTTGCAATGGTCATTTGTTTGTATGCACTCATCTTTTCCCCGATGGTTTCCTTAGTCTTGGTCTGCAATTCAACGAGTCTCATCTCAGATTGCAGTGATAACATGGTGTGTTTGTTTGTTTGTTTTTTTTTTTTTTAAGAATCTCAAGAATCTCAACCATTCACTTGTGATACCTTGCCTTGATGCCACCCTTTTTCCATCACTGATCGGCCAGCGCAGATACTGAAGCTGCCTTTGTGTGTTGCGCTCCCTGTGCCACCTCATGTCACACTCCTGCCACCTTGTTCCAGTTGTGTGCCACCATGTGTCACCCTCGTGCCAGCTCTTTACACCACTTTTCACCATTTTCCAGCATCCTGCCATCCCTCCTACACCAATGTATTCCTCCAACCGCACATCACCACTCTGCAACGGCCCAAGAAGCACTGCAAGCCATTGTTGAAAGCAATCGATCACCTCGTATCTTTCCCAGACACACCAACAGTTGCAGTTACAGCAGCCTCTACAGGGCACCCACCGCACCCACTACATCATCATCCACAGCAGAAGGACAGCAGCTGTTACAGCAACCACTACATACAGGCAACCTCAGCAACCGCTACAGCACTACAGGCACCCTCAGCAACCGCTACAGCACTACAGGCACCCTCAGCAGCCGCTACAGCAGGAGAGGGACAGCAGGAACATCAGCAGTGCGCTTGCAGCGAGGGATGCAGGAGCAGGCTGTATCCGTTTTCATCTGATGGTTTTCGAACACAGTGGAAATGACGTGGAATAATTTCCTCAATTGGAAAAAGATAATGGAGAAATGCTTGCCTGTCAGTCTGATGTGTGATTTAAGCTTGTGCTGCACGTTTGCCTCTTGCTGCCTCCTGGTTGAATAACACGTGATCCTTGTTCACATACATAAGCGTTTATTTCCCTCCTTGATTTCTCTGTCCTGCTGTTCCTCCTCTATCCCTTTCCCTGGATCTTTTCACTCCCCCCTCCCTTAATTGTTTGTTGGACGATCGCCATCCCCCTGCCCCTCATTGTGTCACTAGGACGCTTCTCCTATCCTCGTAGCCCCTCTTTTGAGCTTTGAAGTATCTACCTAGCACTCTCCAGTTGTATCCTGCCCTTTTCCTCGCCTGGTTTGTTGATAACGGCCTAATGGCGCCACCGCTGTCAAATAGCTGCTGTATGCCCTGTGAAAGGATGCTGGTGCCTTTTTACCACTCATGTTGGTTGTGGTTTTCTGAGTTGCTTATGTTGGAAACAATTGATTTAGCGTCTCTGTCGTGTCGAAACACCGAGTCAGAAGCGAAGCGAAACATATCGAAGCATTAGCGAGTCAACCCTCGGAGGTTGAACAAGTGCTGGAGGTTACGCGAAAGTCAAAGGTCAGCGACCTTTGACCTGACAATTACAGCATGATAGCAAGGACAAACAACTGACTCACTATTGAGCAGTTGCCCGAGTCGTCACTGTATCGAACCGCAACAGCAACAGTAAAACGGTTATTAACACTATCTCTTCGTATTCCTTGTACTCTTATAAAAGATTGTATCTCTTTGTTTTAATCAATGGACTTTGCCCTCACATACCAGCGCAATGTGGTTCACAAACTTCTCATTAAATCCCGAGTACAACATGGTAATTTTCAAGTTCAAGATTCTTTAAATTGAAATCGCCAAAAACAGGGTTACCCTACTTGTTTTGAAGAAACTCTCGCGACCCCAGGCAATCGTCATGCGACAACGGAACCCGAGTGCCCAAAAACAGAATTGACGTGATGATCGCCAACCATATGCACTTGTCCACCACTCACATAACTTGGACACCAAGTAGTACTCATAGACTAGGAGGCTCCAGGCAAAAACTAGCTCCAGTAGGCAAAAGCGAGTCGTTGAAAGGGTTTTTTTTTGTGGGAAATATAAAGTAGGTATCCACCTCAACCATCTTTGTCACCGCACGCTCCGATCTCCCCCTCACGTCGGCAGTCTCGAGTAACAAACCGTTCACCCGCGGCACTTACGTTAGTGAATGATCTTCGCGCTACTCGCGCCGTGCATTCAATCCCGCGTCGCACTTGCTGCGAATCAGCCCCGTGTCACGATCGTACCGTTAAAGGTTCAGGTGACGCACACTGCCGTTATTTGCGTATGTTCCCCCCTCGTCGGCCGCTCTTTCCCACATCATACCCACTTTCCTTGTCGCCCGCGCTTTCCCTCATCACCCTCGTGTCAGAATATTATCTTATTGTTCTAGCCTGTAGTGGGGTGCTCTATAGCGAGTACAACCCTTCTAGGGTTTGCTATTTGTATCCTCATTCTTGCTAGTTTCAATCCTCTTTTATTTCTTCAAACTTTGTCATGCTATCAGAGCAGGTCGATCCCCTGGGATCGATCCTGTGGGTGGGTTACCACCTCGCTTCCGCTGCTTTTTTTTTTTTTTTTTCCTCCCGCCGTGCGCCCCGAGGCGCGCGGCGGTTTTCTGCCTGCCGTGCGCCCCGAGGCGCGCGGCGGTTCTTTGCCCGCTGTGCGCCCCGAGGCGCGCGGGCGGGCTTCTGCCCTACGTCGCGGCCCCGCCCTGCGTCGCGGCCCAGCCCCTCGAAGCGGCCCTGACCGTCGCGGCCCCGCCCCTCGACGCGGCCCCGCCCTACGTCGCGGCCCCGCCCTGCGTCGCGGCCCCGGGGCCCCTCGAAGCGGCCCCGCCTCTACGTCGCGGCCCCCCGCCCTCGTCGCGGCCCCGCCCGACCGTCACGGTCCCGCCCCTTGTCGCGGCCCCGCCCTCCCAACCAGGCCCGTGGTGGGCCCCTTTCACCACACCCCCCCCCCCCCCCCCCCCCCCTTCCCCCAAGCGGCCCCTCAGGTCGCCTCGACGGAAGACGGGAGGGGCGAGCCTGTGGGGTGGCGGGTATGGGGGTGGCTCGGTGTGCCTTCCTCCCTTTGCTCCTCCTCCTCCTTCGTCCCCACTGCTGCAGCTGTCGCTGAGGGGGGTGGTTGTGTGGGGAGACTGGGGTTTAGGGGTTTAAGGGGGGTGCGTGGGAGTAGAGCTAGCGGTGTAGCAGTGGGTGTGTATCAGGGGGGGTGGGACCTGTGTGCGGTGAGGATGAGCGGAGGTTGCCAGTCTGTCGTCAGCAAGCACCTGTAGTCCGGGGCGCTGTCCCGGTAGCCAGTGAGCTAGACTTCTACGCCAGCCGCCTGTGGGTCCGTTGCCCGTCCGCCGCTATTTGAGCCGCGGGGCCTGTTTACTCCTGTAGTCCGGGGCGCTGTCCGGTAGCCGCTGTGCCAGTCTGCCTCCTGTTGCCCGTGTGTCTGCAGCTTCAGCCGTCGCCTCCTATCTCCTCTCCCTCACTCTCCCTCCTCCTCCTCACTTGCCCGTTGTGACTACCACTAGCTTTGCTTATAATTGTGAACTCTAAACTATTTCTTCTTGAACTTGTGCTCAGAATGTGTGGTGACATTGTGATCCACCCTGAGCTTGTATTGCTTTGGCCTGCTCTGCTGATTACACCCCACTTTGGCTATGGGGGGTGTGTCAGAATATTATCTTATTGTTCTAGCCTGTAGTGGGGTGCTCTATAGCGAGTACAACCCTTCTAGGGTTTGCTATTTGTATCATCATTCTTGCTAGTTCAATCCTCTTTTCTTTCTTCAAACTTTGTCACCTCGCCGACCCTCGCCGCCCTCGCCTCTTGTTGTCGCCCGCGCTTCCCGTCGTCGCTCTCGCTACCCCGTCACCTGCACTTCCCGTCGTCGCTCTCACTTCCCCGTCACCCGCGCTTCCAGTCGCGCTTTCGCTTCCCCGTCACCCGCGCTTCCCGTCGTCGCTCTCGCTTCCCCCGTCACCCACGCTTCCCCTCGTCACGGCACTTTCCCTCATTCTCTCCACTAGTCACCCAGCTTCTTCTCATCTCTCTCTCTTCTCCTCAACGTCCTCGGGTTCCCTCGTCGCCGATAACACCCTCGCTTCTCCCCGTCGCCCTTGCCTCCCCACATACCCGCCTCCATCTCCCCCACCATACACCCGCCTTCCCTCCACAGAATGCCCTCAGTGGGAGGGACAGAGGGGTCTGGGCCCTCGTCACGCGCGCTTCTCCTCGTCACATGTTTCTCCCCTCGTCCATGCGCTCTTCCCCTCTCGTCTCTTCCCCTCGTCATTTCTTTTTTCCTCACTCTCTTCCACACTCCTCTCCATATCTCCCTCTCCCATTCTCTGATTGTCCCGCCCTCTCCCGCTCTAGTATCTTCCTCCCTCTCTTGCTCAATTCCTATTCTCTCTCTCTCATCCCTCTCTCCCTCTTCGGGCCTCATTTATTGGGAGGGACAGAGGAGGGGGTTCAGATGGGGGAGTGTCGTGGGGGTAGGGAAAGTTGGGGAGGGACATAGGGGGGAACAGTGCCTCACGCTTTTAGGTCACTTGCAATCACCTCCCCTCCCATCCCCCTCGTTGCCTGGCCTGCCTCTCTCATACTTCCACCCTCTCTCTTGTGTACACCCCCTCCTATTCTTTCCCCACCACATACTGCCCTCCTTCCTCCCACATGCCCCCCCTCTTTTCCCCCACATACCCGCCCTCCTTCCCCCCACATACCCGCCCTCCTTCCCCCCACATACCCGCCCTCCTTCCCCCCACATACCCGCCCTCCTTCCCCCCACACACCCACCCCCCTTCCCGAAAACGGAAGCGACAGCGGGGGAGGGACAGAGGGAGAAGGACAGAGGGACAGAGGCAGAGGGGAGGGACAGAAAGGGGGGGGTCCGAGGGGGAGAGACAGAGGGGAGGGGACAGAGGGGGAGGGACCGAGTGGAAGGGATTGAGGGGGAGAGCCAGAGAAGGAGAAAAGAGGTGGGGGTGGATAGAGGTGGGGAGGGTTTGCTTCCCTCACTACCCCTCCCAATCGCCCTCACTTCTTCTCCCCTCCTCTTCGCCTTCACTTCCTCTCCCCGTCGCCCCTAACCTCCTTTCCCCGTCGACCTCACCTCCTCTCCCTCTGCCCTCCTTCCCCCCTCCCTCCGCCAGGCTTCCCCCTCCCTGCGCCCTGCTCCCCCCTCCTTCTGCCCTGCTTCCCCCCTCCCTCTGCCCTGCTTCCCCCTCCCTTCGCCAAGCTTCCCTCCCTTCGCCCTCCCTGTTTCTCCCTCCCTCCCACCCTGCTTCCCCCCCCCTCCCTCCACCCTGCCCCCCCTCCTCCACCCTGCTTTCCCCTCCCTCCGCCGCTTCCCCCTCCCTCTTCCTTTCCCCTCCCACCTCCCTGCTTCCCCCCTCCTTCCTCCCCGCTTCCCCCCTCCCTCCTCCCTGCTTCCCCCCTCCCACCGCCCTGCTTCCCCCTCCCTCTGCCCAACTTCCCCCTCCCTATGCCCTGCTTCCCCCCTCCCTCCGTTAAGCTTCTGTCAGAATGAGGAATGATGATGCCATTGATGTTGGTTGGGGTACATATAACAAACCCTAACTTCTGTACCCCTAAGACAAACCTCACTACAGGCTACAACATTTGACACACCCCCATAGCCTAAGTGAGGGTGTCTAGCAAAATAAAAAAAGAGTACGGTCACAAGACCAGTCCAAAAGAAAAACAAAGCTCAGGGTGGATCACAACGTCACCACACTCTCTGAGCACAAGCAACAGTGGCCAAAGGCCAGTCCAAGAGATCACAAGTATATATAACAAGAGTACAGACGAAGCAGGCAATAAACTCAAGCCTACACATGACTAGAACCTGTGTCAACAAGGCCTAACTGCACACAACACCTCTGGTGGTCAAGAGGCGGAAGCGCCTTGGTGAAGATGTCTGCAGTGTTGGCCTCGGACTCACAGACTCGAAGCGAGCCTGTCCACGTCTCTGCAACTCTCGCAGAAGAAAGTACCTGACGTGAATGTGCTTCACTTGCTCTCCAGTCGCGGCTCACGACAGAGGAGGATCGACGCCTTGTTGTCAGTGAACAAGGTCGGTGCAGAGCTCGGCGCCACCAAGTCGGGCGAGCAAGAAGGTCAACCAACGCAACTCCTGTGCCGCCATGGCACCAGCGTAAAATCTCAGCCTCAGCTGTAGAGGTCGAGACAGAAGAGGAGCGCGTGGAACGCCAGGGAAACAGCTCCAGAACCAGACTAAAACAGTACCCTGAGTAGACCTGTGAGTCTCAGCGTCGTCAGAGTAGAGAGGAGTCAGTGGACCAGTGAGTACGACAGACTGCTGCCCTCCAAGAACTAGCCCCACGCCTGATGTAGTCGCTAGGTACTTCGCCACCCTCACAGCTGCCGTCAGTGAACAGGA